GCTGACTCTTCAAAGGAGCCAAACTCATTAGAGCTATTTTTATTATTGCAGAGGTTATGTGTTTTGGCCCATGGAAGTCTGCTATGTGCTTTTGAATAATCTCAGCTCTCTAGGATGACATCCTTTTTTTTTTTCCACAATAGAAATGCAAGTTTATTAAGGGAATGAGAACAGCCTTGTTTGTACTGTAAAGATGCCTGAGGTCCTTGGGCATCTCTGTCCTAGCTTCAGCCAAGAAGCTCGGGTTCCATTAGTGGAAAGTGTCTGAAAGAACAGAACCTGGCTGCTAGGTACTCACTACTACTGGTTAGGTGTTGCTTCTCCACCTTTTTTTCTTTTTTTTTTGTTGGTCATGGGGCTTGAACTCTGGACCTAGGTGCTGTCACTCAGCTCTTCAGCTCAAGGTGAGGGAGAGAGAAAGGGAGGGAGGGAATGAGGGAGAGAGAGGGAGGAGGGAGGAAAGGAAACTGGGAGGGCAGTGAGGGTTACCTGGTATTTGAGTGAATCAAGTTCTCTGCATTTTGATAGATTGACTCCAGCTGGAGCCTTCCTTCCCCAGTCTGCTGGCAGAGGCTGAGCAGCTGTGAGCCTGGCTGAGGCTTGTCATTTGGAACAGTTTCCCCCTCCGTTTCTGCTGTCTGGTGAGGCATGGCAATGATGATTACAGAATCTTCATGTGGTAGACCACTACCTGCATGGGATCACTCATCCCAAGGTTAAAAAAGAAAGCACTCGTGTATCCTGTGAGCCAGTGGATGGGTTCTGTGTTAGAGATGGGTGTGTATGACATACTGTTGAATGGTGTTGAGACACAGGATGAGGGGAATGGAGGATCCATGACACTGGGTTCTTGAATCCATGCACAGAAAGGTGCACAGTGCAAGTCCATAGTGTAGTCCAGGTTCAGACCTCATCAGGTGAACAAGTCTATGTTCATGTGTAAATATTTGAACAACCAAATATCAATAAGCAAGTCAGGGTTGGAGGTATAGCTCAGGGGTAGAGCACCTGCCTAGCACAATCCAATATCCTGAGTTCAAACTGCAGTGCTACTAAGAAGAGCCAGATTTGTGGTATTCTTTTTTCTTTCTGAAAATAGGCTGTATTCAAAGGAAACTGAAGGCAATAAGGGTGCAGCATTATCAAACACCAGGTCACAGATGCAGCTGTATAGGGCTTCAGTCTTAGAAGGGGAATCTACTCAATGCGCTTCCAGACCCTGTCACATAGCCTATGTCAACAGCAGCTCATCTGCTATGACTGGACCTTCACCTATAACACATACAAAAACATCTCCCATGCGATGTGGTTCACATGAGCAACTCATCCACAATGTGGCCCAAGTTCTGAGAGCAACAATATGCAAAACTCAATCTACACGGTTATTTGAAGCTCTTTAGCCATATGCCCAATACAAACATGTAACAGATCATCTTTATTTAGCCATGGTTGTCTGGATTATACATACACACATAGCATGAGGGAAAAGGCTTTTGCATCTAAGAGACCCTTGAAGTGCATGCAACCCAAGTCAGTGTTGAAAGGGAGAAGCAGCAGCATCCAGTTCCCTTCACTAATGAGATTAAAGATTCCTGATGAATATATTCATCGGTGCATCTCAGCATCATAGCCCATCCTGAGTGTGCAGACCTTGACTGATACAGATCTAGGTTCAGGCTTTCAGTGGTTCCCATTCGTCCTTGGCTGCTGCTACACAATCCAGTTCTATGAGACTAAAGCTGCTCACAACAGTCAGGGACTCCTGCTTCCAGTGTTTTTCCCCTGGAGTATTATCTGCTCTAAGGCAGCGGATCTAAAATGCATTTTCCCCTGGGGCAGCCCTGACCATCACAGCTAGTGTTGACATAGTACACAAACACCTGAGAAACCTCACACATTGCACTTTTTTGTGCAGGGATTTAAGAACCCAGTGTCATAGATCATACACACCCATCTCTAACACAGAACCCATCCACTGGCTTGCAGAATACACAAGTGGTTTCTTTTTTAACCTTGGGATGAGTGATCCCATGCTGGTAGTGGTCTACCACATGAAGATTCTGTAATCATCATTGTCATTTCTCACCAGACAGCAGAGGCAGAGGGGGAAACTTCCAAATGACAAGCCTCAGCCAGGCTCACAGCTGCTCAGTCTCTGCCAGTAGACTGGGAAAGGAAGGCTCCAGCTGGAGTACATCTATGAAAATGAAGAACCCTTCCAATTTCCCTTTGAGCCAAGCCTGCAGATAATAGTTGAGTTGGTTCGCCCCCTGGTGGCCATAGGCGGAAGAGGCATCAGTTGAAAAACAGCAATTTGAATAGTCATTGGCACTAAATCAAACTCTGAAATTCTTCCCAAAGGATTCACATATGAAAAAAGACAAAAACCAAAAACCAAACCCTGAAAACTTATATAAACAGGTTTACTTCATAATTACCTTATTTGATCAAGTGAAATTACGTATATATCCATGAGTGGATAGATTATTATTCATGAAACATGATTGGGATGGAGTGTGTGTGTGTGTGTGTGTGTGTGTGTGTGCGCGCTAACAAACCAATTACTACTGAATGTAAAAGCCTGAAAAGTCTATAAGGAATATATCATGGCATCCAGTTAAAAATGCAACTATAAGGACTAGGAAGGTGGCTCAGTGGTAGAGTGCTTGCCTCGCATGCATGAGGCCCTGGGTTCGATTCCTCAGTACCACATAAATAGAAAAAAGCCAGAAGTGACGCTATGCTCAAGTGGTAGAGTGCTGGCCTTGAGCTGAAGAGCTGAGGGACAGCGCCCAGGCCCAGAGTTCAAGCCCCATAACCAACAAAAAAAATTCAACTATAACATATTAACATACATGATATGCACAATTCTGATCCATTTAGTTTCAGGCCAGCTTGAGCTCAACACTCAGGCCTTGGGGATACACTCATCTAAATGATAACATACACTCACGCTGTCATGCAGCCTTCACCACAGCTCAGCTCCAGCATGCTTCCATCCCACAAAGCAGAAACTCATTCCCTGTCCAGCTTCTGGCAGCCACCATCTACTTCCCATCTAGATCAAGTGACTAGTTGAGTGTGTAATTGACCATTTAAGTTACTTTTTATTTCCAAAATAAAAGCATATTTTGTGATCCTATTCTAGTAAGTAGTTTATCCATAGGGCACTTGCACTCGTGTTTGTGGCAAGAAAGCTATGAAATCAATGAACTCTGTCTAATAAAGGACTGGATAATAAATTATGGTACTTGTTCATGTAGTGAAATGATATATAGCTGGACCCACTGAGTAGATATATGGGTAAGGAAAGTGTAGAAGTGTTATAGTTCTCATTTGTTTGGAATAGAAACAATAATATCAATACTTAACATAATTAAAAATGTATCTGAAACCAGTATCATGAAGCTTAATGAATAAAGGCCACAAGAGCTCCCATGAAAGCAGCACCTAACATGCCAGTACCATACTACACAGCTCTCTTAGGGTGCAGGTTACTGGAAGAGAAAAAAAAACTACCAAAAAAATTAGAGCGAAAATAATAAGTATAAGCATTACTTTCATTATGATAGTTAATTCAGAAACCTCAAGAATCAAATGAAAAGCTTTGCACAGAAATCAAAAGGCTTCATGTATTCAAACTATCAACTACAAAAAGGAAGGATGGGATATCTAATATAAAATAACCACCAGTTGGCCTCATGTCTGTAACCCTAGCTACTCAAGAGGCTGAGATCTGAGGATCATGGTTTGAAGCCAGCCTGGGCAGGAAAGTTTATAAGACTCATATCCAATTACCTACTGAGATGCTAGAAGTAGAACTGTGGCTCAAGTAGCAGAGCAAGCTTGCCTTGAACAACTAAGTTCAGGGACATTGCCCAGGATCAGAGTTCAAGCTCCAGGCCTGACACAAAAAACCCCACAAGTAATTTAATCATAAATACTGAAATTAGTGCACTTAAAAAAAAATCAAACAACTACTGGAACTTTGTCTCTATACTTACAGATAACGTTTTTAAGACACACATCGAAAGCCACTTAAAGCTTTATAAATTAAGACTATAAAGCAGAATTTTAGATTTTTCATGTCAACAAACTATTCAAGAGACATACAATAAATGGAGATATCTGTCTCCTATACTTAAGGACTCTTACAAATTAAAAGGAAATAGAACAATAAAGAGTTCTCAGCAAATAACACACACATAGCTGAAAAAGATATGTTTGGCTTAATTCATAGAAGAAATGCAAATTAAGACTATAAGGAGCTGGACGCTGGTGGTTCATGCCTGTAATCCTAGCTACTCAGGAGGTTGAGATCTGAGAATTGTGGTTCAAAGCCAGCCTGGGCAGAAAAGTCTGAGATTCTTATTCCAATTAACCACCAGAAAACTGGAAGTGACGCTGTGGCTCAAAGTGGTAGAGCATTAGCCTAGTGAAAGAAATAAGGGACAGCACTTAGGGCCTGAGTTCTAGCCCCATGGCCAATGCCATGGTGGCTGAGGATACTGCAAAAGGAAGTAATTCACCTCACACTCCTGCACTGTGCGTCTCAGATGTTTTCAGGAAGACCTGTGCAACCTGAGGGCCCTTCTAGCTCTAAAGTCAATAAAAGCAGTATTGTACCTATTTAGCAAGATGAAGGTCCTGAGTTCAAAATCCCAATACTGACCACCCCAAAAAAATTATTTCCAAGAATAGAGATTTTCCACTGAATGGTACTGTAAAGGACAGACAGGTTTGTTTGTTTTTTCCCCACAAAAGCTTTTAAGACCCTGGGTGTCTTTTGGAAGTTTTCCTTTTACACAGAAGGAAGGGACAAAAGTCATGTTGGCCCAGTTTTGGCTTAAAAAGGCCAGGGTATCCAATGTGTCTTCTTGGGAAGGTTCACATGCATTGTCATGAATGCTTGCCTACTGGAACAGATCCATTAGTTAGCTGCCTCCAACCTCCCACTTGTTAATTTGGTTGGAGTATTTGTTACAACTAAGTTACACGGGTCTGTTTTATGGACTTTATTTGTAACAAACACATTAAAAAAATCAGTCTTTACACAGTGTCTTCTGGAGAGTGTCCCCATCTGCATTTCACTTTCTCAAACGTTTATAGTCCATGAGCAGCACAATTAGCCTGTTACGCAGGGTTCGGATCTTGCTTGAATAGTGCTGTTGAAACTGGTTCTTCAGCTTCTGCCTTAACAAATCCAAAGATGGGAGATGGTCGCAGTCTGGTATATTCAACATGGTGTGGAAAAACTCCTCCCACATCTCCAGATGAGGAAGCCTGAAGAGACAAAGCATCAACAGTGGATAAAACACAGCCTTCAAAACACACAATATGCTCACACATTGACTCCTGAGAGCCTGGATGGTATAAGAGGACAATTCCCACCTAAATACCATTTACTGAGTGAGAATGCAAGTACTGTCAGGTACAGTGTGACTCAAGCCCATAATCCTAGCAACTTGGGAGCAGAGATTGAGGAATCATGGCTTGTGAACAGCCCAGACATAAAAGAAGTTTATGAGACTCCATGTTAACCAATGGCTGGGCACAGTAATGCATACCTGTTACCCCAAACTATGAGGGAAGTCCAGCCTTTGCTAGGTGCAGTGGCCTGAGTCTGTCATTTCCAGTGATGACTGGGGAAGCCTAAGGAGAAGGATCCAAGCATATGAAGTGAGACCTATCTCAGAAATAACCAATGCAAAAAGGGGGCTGGAGGTGTGACAAGAGGTAGAGTGCCTTCCTAGCAAGCACAGTGCCCTGAGTTTTTCCAGTAATCCCCACCTCAAAAAAGAAAAAAATGTATGGAAGCACTGAACCCATCACAAACAAGAACAACAAAAGATGCAACCAAATATCTGAACACATTCGGTTTGAGAAACATGGTTGAAAAGCTATCTGCTTTTGGCTGGTTGTGAATAGTACAGAATAGTCAGAATCTCATAATGCAGCCATATTGCAAGAGCTTATTTGTGCTCAAGCCAGGACCAAGCAGACAGCAGACAGGCTGCACTGCCCTGAGTGTGCTCAGTCTTTAGAGTTCCAGACACTGCAAACTTCATGTCTTGGCGAGAAGCCCCTATGAAGAAAACACCACACTGAAGTTGGACTCCAGAGCCTGGTCACCCGACCTGTAGGGGGGGAGCTTCAGTCTTTCCCTTCACTTGTCAGAGCTGGAAGCCTTCTGAACAACCATCCGGTCCTCCCATTATGAGCACGAGAAAGAATGCAGGAAGAATGCTCAATCTGATGATTCATTATACAAAATAAAACATAGCTGTTTTAGTCTTCCTGAGGAGATTGAACCTCATCTATGAATACCACATGACATTTCATAAAATTATTACCAACTACTTTTTTGTTCTTCAGTTTTGGAAGATGGTGGGCAGAGTGCGGAGAATCCAAGTGTTAAGTTTTGGTTTTTAAAGAATATCAACACGTAAACTTCCAGTAAGCTGTGTGTATGAAAGTACTTTTCTGTATGAATTTTTATTTCTCAAAAACGTTACGAGACTGCTTCCACTATATTTGATGTCAGTATAACTTGTGGAGGAGATGGGGCAAAACAAGTCGTTTAAGGATACAGGTGGACCTGTTGCAACAATGAGAAGTACAAGTTGTCATGTCCATAACGAGCTTTACAATGTCAGTGCAGGGCGGGGGTGGGGGGAGGGATTAGGACTGGGGACTGGGTGGGGGTAGGGGGGAGGCTGGGAAGGGATGTGAAGGGTAAACAAAGGAGGAGGCTGCAATGCTTGGTAAGAAATGTATGCATTATCCTGCCTATGTAATTGTAACCCCTCTGTCAGTATGTTCACAAATAAAATAAAATAAATTAAAAAAAAAAAAAACCGTTAAGAGAAAGAAGGTGGGGCTCGCAAGGCAGCTCAGTGGCAGAGTGCTTGCCTCACACCCATGAGGGAGGTCCTGGGTTCAATTCCTCAGCACCACATAAATAGAAAAAGGCGGAAGTGGCACTGTGGCTCAAGTGGTAGAGCATTAGCCTTGAACTGAAGAGCTGAGGGACAGCACCCAGGCCCAGAGTTCAAGCCCCAAGACTGACAAAAAAAACAAAACAAAAAAAGCATTAAGAGAGGGAAGTATAAGTCATATAAGGAACATACATGTACCTAACCTTACACAGCACCGGTAGTATATTCACAAGGTGCTACTCTGGAAGAGCCATCCACACTGACAGGATGAGCTCCAGTCCATTCTTGCAATTTTGTAGATCAGAACAAAGTGTTAGTGAACTAAACTCAGATAAGGAGGGGACTTAAAATATGTCCTATAATAGAAAGCTGTGTCCTCCTACTATATAACTTTCAAAGCACCTTCATAATTTCCTTTGCTTCTTATAAGAAACATCTAAGAAGAATCTGCATTATTCCCATTAATGGAGACAAGAAAACACATGGGAAAATCCTGAGGCTCAGTGACATTAGGTGAGTCTTCCCACCCATAGGTAGAAACACTGGAGTTCACAGTATCCAACCATGCAGCTGGCAATTTTCAGTGATGCCATGTAGCACTGGTTGCTCCTGGCCCTTTTCATCTGGTGCTGAGGATGGAACTCAGAGCCTTTTGGAACTGAGCTACTCTACTGAGCAGCCCTTGGCTGCTCTATTTTTACATGTGGGGAAACAGAAGTGGTGGCACCATGTGATCTGAGCATTGCCTGAGTCAGTACTGAGCTGTCACCACACTGCCTAAGACAAGTTTTCCACACAGCGACAGAACTCCTTTTTCTGCCAGACAAAACCCACCACCATTCTGCTATATTATTCTTTTCACTGTCATACTATTGCCAATCCCCACCTTCTAAAAAGACCTTCAGGCTTCCAGACACCTCCTACATTTTTCACTCTCATGTAAGTGCCAAAAAGCATGCAGTATACTGTTGCGGCAACGCCAAAGTAATCAATCTGTAGAGAAAACACAGGTGCATGTCACTCAATAGTAATTTGCTCACGAGCCTATAAATATGTAACTTTTAACTTGGATACTGTTATATAACCATAGGGCTTTAAAGATTTCTCTGAAAGCTACTGAGATGCCCCACTGCTTGTCTAGGCCCTGCCTGAAGCTTCCATGGGAGAGCAACACCCTTGTCTCCCGAGGTGGCCCCTTAGAAAGCTCTGTGCTTCTTGACCTAGTTAGTGTTCTTCCCAAGTCTTTTATTCTGTTGCATGCGGCAAATACAACAGTAGAATCGCTTTGCTTGGGAGCTCCAACTCCCTCCACTGTGATTCTGGTGGTTATATGTTTATAACTGAAAAGAACTCTCCATTGTGGCCCACGTCTGTAAGACAACAGACTGTCTGTCCCACTCCATGCCTGAGGAAATGCTAGATTAGCATTTGTGCAGTTGGGGGTCTTATTGGCAGTAGAATAGAAATCAGACTCCCACCCTGGCCCCTTTTAACTATGGCTTCTGAAAAGCGAGTTTCTACCCACCTGGAAACTGGGTAGAGATTTTGTTAACCTAGTTTCAAACTTTACATTTGTCCTAGTTAGTATTCTTTACTTGATAACTAACTTTGATGGAAATTGTGACGTATTTCTTAATGATAATATTGATGCAACCATTTGGATAAGGTAATCTGGAGGACATCTGGCAGCAGCATCTTATAGCAGTCAGGTTCACTTACTTACCTATGAAAACAGCCAGATGTGTGAAACACTGGCTCAATTCTGCCCACAGTCAATAGGCTGGGGTGTCCAGCTAATTCTGGCCCAAAAAGGAAACCAAGCTGCTTTCATCTACAACTGAAGCTGGATCCTGGTAGCATGACTTCCTTTTGAAAGGTCACAAATCAGTGCTTTTTCCTAGGGTCAAACTTTGACAATGCATTTGCTTCCCTTTGCTGATGATAGACTTGAGAAAGGTATATTGCTCAGGAGTAATTCTATCTTCCCCCTCAGCCATAAGTTTGATCTTTCCTTCACCCACTAGTTCAAACTAAGTAGAATCCCAAATTCATTTTGAAAATCTGATAAGAGAGAGAGGAAAAAGTTTTCAAAGCTCTTGTTTTACTCCCATACCTGGTAGTTCCATGGTTTGCTACTGAGCATTTCTGTACACTGAAAACCAGAAGTTTCACACTTGGCTGTAAATGTAGTTCCTTTTGGAAAAAGTCTCATATCGATACTCTGACCCAGGTCAATCAGTGCCAAGCCAGCAGCTAAATCATCATCATCATCCTGTTTCAAAAATCTAGATTAAACAAAAACAAAGGTCAAGATGCATGAGCACAAACAGCAAGCGGCTGCTAGAGAAGGGTGAAGGAGGCCTGTTACAGAGCACTTGCCTGTTTCCCAGGATGAAATTGTCTGGTTTAACGTCTCCATGAATGATCTCACAGCTGTGAATTTGTTCAATCATGTGGAGCATTTTGATAGCGAAAGAGATGACGATAGCCTGCGGCATCACTTTTTCAGGGGTATTTTTATAGAGGTTAATGGCATTCTAGAAACAATGCAAGTGACACCCTGAGTTGGTTGTGGAGGATACATGAAATTTCTAGTCAAAAAGGCTTTGCCTCACCTTCCTGTCCAGCAAACGTTCTAACCACAAAAGACAGGTGCAAGGCATAAAGCAGAAATGCACTTCAAATTCATGACCATATCGTGGAAACAAAACACTTACTAATAATGTTCCATAGCTGTAGAGCTCTCCTACTAATATGCTGCCATTTTGGAATAAGTGGGCAGAATAGAACTTGATAAACATGTATTCCATGGTTGGCTTGAGTCTCTCCATTAGCTGGGTCCCAATGTAGAATTCCCAGGGGTTGGCAGGCTTCTGGACCTGTAATACAAATCAGATCCATGACATTCATATCCCATTTCACATTCTGGATAGGATACCAAGAAAGCAAGCTCCATTCCAATAAAGGACATGGTATAAAGAGTGATGATAATCTATGAACTGCTTTACAACATGGGGCTTACTACTTCAGGATAATTTTAGTGGCAAGGCAGTTCTGAGTCTTCACAGGATAGTTCTTATGTAATCGTTCACTACAGATCTCAATGAAAACATAGTTTTAAGGAAAAAAAGGAGGCAAAGAACTTTTGTTATAAAATTTACTTCTATACTGCTTAAACAAGAACCCCCTGAGATCATTTACCTTTAAAATACATTTCTGCTTATTTTTCACCTCATTCACATCTCCAAGGGTAGCTTCATAGACCTGGGCAAAAGCTCCTTCTCCAAGAAGGCAATTGACATACACCAGCGAAGGACCTTGGAAAAAAAGTGTTAAAATGAGAAAAGGCCCGAATCATTAGTGACTACACAATAAAGAATTTGTACAATTTTTCTTGGTTTTTAACTGCTCTGATGAATAAAAATAAATAGGGGAAGGTCTAGAAAAAAGTGAAAGAAAGACCTGGCACCAAAGAGCCTTCTTAACAAATCTCTGGCACAGAGGTGTGATGTTGGCTCAGGACATTGAGCTGCATGGCCTTGGGCATGTGTCTCCCTCTCACCAATGATTTCACATTTTAGAAAGGGTACTCGTGCTTCCTGCTTTGTATGACTTTCGAGATGTTGGTAAGAACATGTAAAAATCTTTTGTAAAGCGCTAATAAACAAAGTTTGGGACAATGTATGTGTTTTTACAACAGAATAAAAAGGACAAAGTTCTACATAGTATACAGCCAGTTGCCCTACAATTAACTTTTTGTTTTGAGGTGTGTGTGTGTGCGCGCGCGTGTGTGTGTGTGTGTGTGCGTGCGCGCGCCTATCCTGGGGCTTGAACTCAGGGCTTATGCACTGTCTCAGAGCTTTTTTTTTTGCTCATGACTAGTGCTCAATCACTTGAGCCACAGCTCCACTTCTGACTTTTTTGATAGTTAACTGGAGATAAGAGTCTCCCTGGCTTTCTTGCTTGGGCTGGCTTGGAACCACGACCTTCATATCTCAGCTTCCTGAGTAGCTAGGATTACAGGCATGAACCACTGCAGTCTAGCCTGTTAACTCTACATAATTATGGCAGGCTTGTCACAAATAAAGATCCATAGTATGTTCCTATTAACTAAATGCCACACTTTCTTCAGATTTCATTAGTTTCTCCATGTGTTACAGGATATATTACTTTTAGCATCTTCTATATACATGTTATCAAAGAATTCAAAGTTATGTTCTCTATTAATTCTTACCTAATTGGAATTCAGTTTTAGGCTTGATGGTTGGAAGTTTATACTGGTGCTCAAAAGTATTTGGATATGAACTCACTGGTTTAGAAAGTCCAGATAAAAGCTTAAGAATCAAGTCATTATCCCATGGGTTTTCAACTGTAAACTCTAAGAGAAACAGGAACAAAAAAAGGAACAAATTATTCTAATGAAATTTTAGAGAAAGCAAGTTGAGACATTAAGAAGTTTTCAAAAGCTTTGATCTTAATAGAATATTAATTCAATAATAAACTTTTTTCAAATGTCAGAACTGATATTTCAGTGTATTTATTGCCATTTAAAATTTATAAGTTTGGCCAATATTCATTTGTTGACAAAGGGAATCAATTGGCTACATCTTTCTCAATTTATGGAGGTACTGGATCACAACTTTAATGATGACAACTGTGTCTAAAGACACATTTGGACATTAGTTACTTCTAATGTGCTCAGATACACATATTCTTTAACTGTTTCTCCACTTATACCCACATACATGAGTATCAATATTAGGAATCAATCCCAAGGCTTCTCACATAGTAGGCTAGAGCAACTGCTCTACACTCTAGTCTTGACAAACGATTTCTACTACCTATGCACAACTCGCACATAGGAGATGGGCTTTGGGTCCACAAAACCAAAAACAAAAACACTTTTTAAAGGGAAGACAAAGCCTTCTCTCCAAGAGTGTTATGAAATTTCTGAAAGTCTTACCCACTAGGGGGTTATCATTTCCTTAGAATTAAGCATGTATAGAACAGTGTTCAGATCATTTCACATTTATTAAGGAACCAATGTTCACTTAGTTTTTCCAATGATCCCACGAGGTAGATACTAGCATTACTTCTGCTTCACACAAACGATAGACGAACGAGAACGGAAACAATTTTAGTCAAGGTCACATGACTACTTAGGAGGGAGTGCCAGCATTAGAACCCAATTTAGAATCTAGGTAGTCTATTTGCAGTCTGTGCTCTCAACCACAAATGCAATGCTGACTTGTCTGTAAAATGAGGGGAAATAGTATTATAGGCCCTTAGGTTCTAGTTCCCTCTTTTCTTTTTGGTAGGTCGTGGGGCTTGAACTCTGGGCCTGGGGCTGTCCCTCAGCTCTTCAGCTCAGGGCAAGTGCTCTACCATGTGAGCCACAGTGCCACTTCCATTTTTCTGGTGGTTTAATGGAGATAAGAATCTCACGGACTTTCCCGGACTGGCTTTGAACTGTGATCCTCAGATCTCAGCCTCCTCAGTACCTAGGATTACAGGTGCGAGCCACCAGTGCACGGCTAATTCCCTCTTTTAACAATAGTTGTCCTGCTATCATTTAAGATTAAAACAGATTGACCTGCCCTTCAAATGTATTGCCACTAAATAGAATTGAGATGCAGGCATAGGTTCTGTTCTGAGCATGTGTTCTACTCAGTGATGTGCAAGTCCTCGTTCTGATGTTTTTCACAGAACAGCTTTCCCCACACTGTTCTTTTTTTTTATTTGTTTTTAGTCGGTTGTGGGGCTTGAACTCTGGGCTTGGGCGCTGTACCCGAGCTCTTCAGATAAAGGTGAGTGCTCTACTGTTTGAGCCACCGAGCCACTTCCGGTTCTCTAGTGATTTACTGGAGATAAGAGTCTCACAGACTTTCCTGCCTGGACTAGCTTTGAACTGCAATCCTCAGATCTAAGCATCCTGAGTAGCTAGGATTATAGGGATGAGCCACCGGCACTCGGTCCATGCTACTGTTCTTATAGCAAGACTACAAGTGAACATCTGTGCATACTTGCAGCATTGACATTCCCAAGTGAACTAATCTGTGTCCATTGTGCTTGAAGTGCAGGGCTGGCATCTGATGTGTGCTCCATGATGTCAAGGTCACTGCCTCTATGTTTTAGAGCCTCAAGGACCCCCACTGCCTTATGGGTGAGCACATCACCCATAGCAGGTTGGCGAGGCTGATGTACAGATGCTGAAGTCATGTCAGGCAGGAATGTTTGTACTGGACTTTTGTCTTGAATTACACTAGATATGTAACAAGTGTAAGAGACAAAGAAAGGTGATTAGAAGCCTATTTGATTTGATCACATGAAAGTTTCACAAAACAGTTACCTGTTAGTTACCATTCTAGGAATTCCATTTCAAAACTGCCTCACAGTCTGTTGATTAAATCATTTTTAGACTAATACATAAAATTAGTATATGAATAGAAATAAAAATTAAAGACATATAATGTCTTAAACAAGTGAGGTGATACACAGGGTATTAGTGGTAGAAAATTGAGAGGAATGAGTTTCTTCCCTCAAGTTCCATCTAAGAATGCTACTGTAATCAGGTCTAACTTCATTTTAAGAAGATTTCTTACATGATATTGAGAGAAAAATAAAATATCAACCATAATTCAATATCTTAATTCATTTCTATAAACACACACGCATATGTACATGTGTGTGCATGGTAGTACATGTATGCAAAGTTATTCCTCATTCATCAATTTCACAGTGGTGAATTCACCTACATGCTATCATTAATGCATAACTACAAGATGAATACTCATGTGATTTTGCATTTTTCATTTTCAGATTGCAGAGAGCAATAACAAATTTGAGTAAACCAATATACATATTCCCAGTATCAAGTGAAAACCAGGTCAGGTTCTGCCTCACTGCTTTACTTAAATACTATCTTTTTTATGGTATAGGGTCATATGGTTTTGTATTCTTGTGTTTTTTTGTTGTTCATTTCATTATTAAAATGTCTTCAATTTGTTGTAGTAGTGAAGGGCAGTCTGATACACCTAAGTGCAGGAAGGCTGTAAAGTGCCTTGTAGAGAAAATATAGGTATTAGTTAACCTTCACTCAGCAGGAAGTACAGTCTCATTGGATGTGAATTCAGTGCTAACAAATCAGCCACATGTTATATAAGATGTCTTAAAAGAAACTAACCTTGCTTTTTCCCTAGAACAGTGGTTCAGTATAGAGAACAGAACTATGGAGAATCACAAAGAAGAGACTTTTGATTGTGTATCTCCACTTACATATGCCCTTGCATCAACAAATAGACATCCACAAATATATAAATGCTTGTTTTCACAGGAGTAAATCTATATATGTAATTTAATATGCTGCTAGTTTTACTTCTTGTCACACTTCCATTACTGTAAATTTCTTTTGGAATAGTTTTAAAGAAATGTTGTAAGGATGATGGAAAATTCCTGTCAATTTCCTTTAATGTTATCAGCTCCTATTAGAAAGTACTTCTGTGAAAACTAACAAAAAAACACTTGCACTTTGCTACTCAAATCTAACTGTCATTTGGATGTTGTCAGTTCTTCTACTATTGTCCATCTTCTATTCCAAGATCCAGTCCTAGATATGATGTTGTAGTTAGCTGGACTGTTTTTTTCTCTCCTTACTCTCCAATGACAATTCTGACAAGGCTTTTCTTCCCAGGACCTTAACAGAACTGGGTTTCTGATATTTTTCTCACATCTACACTGTGATGACTGGTGTTTGGGAAGACTATCAGAGCAGCACAGTGTTCTCCTTCTGTGGCATCAACATGTATCACCACGATTTATCATTGGTGATGTTAACCTGTCTGTCAGGTTTCTTATACTACTTCCAAGGATTTTAATAACTTATTCACTATTTAAATAGATATTAAAGGTATTTATACACAATGAAAAAGGGCTTCCAAACCCTTACACATTGCTTTCTAATGATATGAGTATCCAAATTATTGTTGGTGCACAACTAATAAACTTTCTCCATAAGAATGAATTTTAAGCTCTTTTCTTCTGAATATCTAAAAAGATAGAATATCACTGTGTCACCTGTTGCTTATGGTAAAAAATAACGCTCAAAGCCAGGCATTGGTAGCTCATGCCTACAATCCTAGTAACTTAGGAGGTTGAGAATGGGAGAATTGTGATTTAAGGCCAGCCTGGACAGAAAAGTTTGCAAGATTCTACCTCAACCCACAGCTGGGTGTAGTGATACACATCTGTCATCCTAAGTTATGTGGGAGTCTGAGGTTGGGAGGATGGTAGGATGGTAGGACCAGGACAGTTGAGACAAGAAAACTCCACGAGACTCCATTTCCATGGAGGAAAATGGATGCAGTGGCATATGCCTATAATCCCCACAACTATGAAAAGACTAAAGTATGTAGACTGAGGCTCAGCAGTCTGCGTGCCTGAGTGGGAAACAAGACCTTGTCCTAAAAATAACCAGTGGGAAACAAGGCAAGAGGCATGATAAGTCTTGTTTCCTTACAGTTTAACTGGTACAGAGGGAAGGGAAGTATCAAAGAAAATAGACCCTTGGCAGTGTGCATCTCACTGGATTTTTGTTCTATTTCTTTTAAGTTAAAATTTTCCCCCCACCCACCTCTGGTGCCATCCTGGGGCTTGAACTTAGAGCTTGGGCAATCTTGAGCTTCTTTGCTCAAGGCTAATGCTCTGCCACTTGAGCAACAGCCCCACTTCTGGTTTTCTGATGGTTTAATGGAGATAAGAGTCTCAAAGACTTTCTTGCTGGCTTCCAACTGTGACCCTCATATCTTAGCCTCTTGAGTGGCTAGGATTATAGGCATAAGACACTATCACCTGGCTTCTTTTAAGTTTAACTATGGTTTAAAGTAGTCTTGTGAATCAAAAACTTGCCTGGACTTAGGAAAACTCCAGGTAGCAGTACAGAACAACACCATGCCATGCAATCTCTTGTTGGCACAAGCCTCTCACCAGAAAAATGAAGAGAAAACACGTAGAAAATGGCCAACTTACTGATAAAAAAATTAATGCAAAACTGATCTTGCCGGTCAGTTGAAAATCATATCAGTGGTTTTTTGTTTGTTTCTTTTGGTAACATAGCTTAGCATGGTGGAAAAAACAAGGTTTCTGAAGAAAAAAAAATATGGGTTCAAATTCCAGTTCCATAAACCATAGGGCCTATGACTTTAGGTCAATAATTTATTCCTCTTGGAAGTGATTTGCTCATCTATAACAGAGGAGAATAATTCCCACAACTCTGTTATTGTAAGGATGAACTACAGGGCACAGTACATGAAAAGCATAAGCACCTTGCCTAGAATATAAGTACTTAAGAAAGCAGCTACTTTTACTATTGATTTCATGGAATGGTCTATCAAATATGGAAGAAGTTTACTCCTGCAAAGTATTGTACCTTGCACCAACACTGAAGGAGGCTTAAGCACTCTATCTTCTTCTCTTAAAAGAAAGTTACTTATTTTTTTTTTTAATGACAATGGGTATAAAGGGGCGATTATGTGTTGGCACAGCTCTGCAAGGGTCTTTGTCTGGTAAGAGAAATTGAATGGAAGTCAGTTTCGTTAAAGGTTCTCACAAGAATTCTGTTACCCCAGCTGCTTTGCTCACTGTTACCCAGTGCTCAGGCTCATCACTATGGTCACACTCATTTGGTCACTGTCATGCTATACCCAGTGCTCAGGCTCATCACTATGGTCACATTCATAGACACAATTCTCACTTAAAAGGTACCAGTCAAAAAAAATTCCATGAGCCCTTGAGGGTTTAGATTAGGTGTTCAATTACATCTTAAAATGCAAAGCTACAATGAAATGGAGAACATACTATACCCGAATTTTCTGTCTTTAGGAGGCTGTACCCTCTTTTCTTCATGAGAGGTTAAAGTTGCACATGTACCCTGTGTTGTCACCATATTTTCTGAAACATACAAAAAAAATAGAGATAGACACATTATGTGCACATATGTGTATACACACATTTGATATTTACAAAGTCTGGGATTCCTTTTTTATGCTGACTTGGACAATAGTTTCAAAATTGTATTCTATGATAAACATTGCTATATAAAAAATAATTTATATCTATTTTTCCTATGAACTTGCAGAAAATTACTGTGCTATTGGTCTTTACCAAACATACCAAAAATTCAAGCACAACAGTTTGAGACCTTTGAAAAATTTTCTTTTTTTTTTTTTTGGGTCTGGTCATGGGGCCTGAACTCTGGGCCTGGGCACTGTCCCTCAGCTCTTCAGCTCAAGGCTAGCGCTCTACCACTTGAGCCACAGTGCCACTTCCGGCTTTTTTCTTTTTGCTTATGTGGTGCTGAGGAATCGGACCAAGGGCCTCAGGCATGCAAGGCAAGTGCTCTACCACTGAGCCACCTTCCCAGCCCCAGATATACTTCTTATAGATTATTTTCAATGTAAGCCAAGAACCATGTCTCCTAAAAACAGCCTAATGTCACAAATGAGATGGATAATTACTGCCAATTAGGATGTGATTCTTTCCTTTATCTCTAACATTAATTCACCTAAACGGAGTCAATCAATGTTCAATGGCTGATTTTAGAATTTGCTCTTTGATTTCAAATGGAGAGGGTTGTGTGACTTTTCATATAACAAATGAGATTTCTCTTTCCATTCTTATTAGGTGACTCCTGAGATAGAATTTGAACAAATTAGAAAACACTATTTGAAATGACAACTATATCTTAGCCTAATAGCCACAAAAATACTGTATTGCTTGGCAGAAAAGAAAGTGTAAAGTAGTACCTTCATATCAATGACTGCTTATTTTGCCCTGTATAAGGAATGTACAAAAAAGGATATTCTAAATACATTATTTCCATTCATTTAGCACAATTAAATCCTTTGGTTTGACTTCGGCATGGAAAAAAGTTGCTGTAAGATTGAAAAATAGGGAATAAAATCACTGAAAAAACCTATTGGGCTCTGTTTTCTCCGGCCTGGGGGCAGCTCTTCTGCCATACCTCATCACTGAAAATGTATGCCTACTCCAAGTTTGCCTCTACTCCCTCCTTGGTCAAGAGTACCTGTCAGCTGCTGAGCTGACCACTATCTGCTGTGGTACTGAACCAATCACAGACACTGACAGATGAGAGCCACAGCAGCTTAGCAGGCCCATGTCCCCTGACCTCACGTCCCCAGCTACAGCTTCCAAACCAGCACCCTCAAGGGACATCGACACAGCAGCCAAGTTCATGGGGGCTGAAGCCGCCAGTTGGGGTGGCTGGTGAAACTGGTGTGCCTGCCACTCCTATCCGTCACCCCCATCTTGGTTAGTCAGTCTGTCCACAGTGGCCTGTCCCTCTCTGGACTTTTTTGTCTTAAGGATCATAGGGATTATATACAGAGAGTCAAAATGCTCACACATACTAGTAATAGGAATTTCTGTGTATGTGTGAGATTGGCAGTGTTTCGGAGCCTCATCATTGGTTATACCAGGAATCATCTGAAGCAGCAGCTCTTCTCCTATGCCATTCTGGGCTTTGCCCTCTTGGATCCCATGTGGCCTTTCTCATCATCTTCACCATGTGAAGGAGCAGTCTCTACCTTCCATACTTATTGCTCCCATGTCTTGTTTGCCCTGTATGTTCCTTTTCCTGTAACTCCTCAGGAAGTCTGGGGAAAGTGGTTGGCTCAGGGTTTGACAGAGGAAAGACAAATAAATACTGTATTAATAAGAAAAAAAATCAATTGGTAGTCTAGGCACTGGTGGCTCATGCCTGTAATCCTAGCCACTCAGGAGGCTGAGATACGAAGATTCTGGTTTGAAGCCAGCCCTAGGAGGAAAGCTCATAGGATGCTCACCTCTAGTTAACTACCAAAAAGAGAGAAATAGAGCCATAGCTCAAGTGTAGAGAACTAACCTTTAGGAAAAAAGCTCAGGGACAGAGACCAAGCCCCGAGGCCAAGCCCTAGGACCAGTACACACACATACACACAAATAGCTATTACTAATATATGTGAGCATTTTGACTCTCTGTAAATAGTCCCTATGATCCTTAAGACAAGAGTCCAGAGAGTGGCAGGCCACTGTGGACAGGCTGACTTACCAAGAGGTCCCTAGCAGGCATGGGGGATGATGGGTGGGAAAGGCAGGCACACCAGTTTCAGAATCCAAAGAGGACATGAACAGTAACAGTGCTTTCCGAGCATAGGGATTTCTATGTCCTTCAGCTTAACAAACTTTACTGAATCAACTTTTAGTTGATTAAGATGGTTTAAATGTGGTTATTACTTATCATGGCTGCCTTTAACCTAAAACTATGTATTCTTATCTGTAGTAGGCAGGATAGACATATTAGACTTCTACCAAGTAATGCTAATACTCTATGTAACCAAGCATTAGACTGCAGTAAATCTTATTAGTCAGTCTCTCACTGAAAAGGTACTTGACTTCTCAATGTTAAAACATTAGCTTCTGTTTATAGAGCCAGAGGGGCAAATTAAGAACAGTCAGTTGACGTTTTGAAAGACTCTTCACTGATTATAGTTTCCTGAATGGGAAGCTTTTATTTTATTTTTTAAAATTCAAGTAGCAAGCTTGTGATAGCATTTAGCAATAGCCCATGTTTCAACTAAATTCCCTTCTTCAGATTTAAAGAACTGTAAATATTGACACCCCCCCCCCAAAGAAAAATATAAATGAACACACTAGATTAGTAATCTTAGAAAAGAGCTGATTCCTTAGTCAAAACTTTTGTCTACAGTTTCTTAACTCCACCAAAGTATGCTTGCATCTGACAAGTGAAATTCTTTGGTCACTACTATTTGAGTTATAAACCTAGCCCTTTTTCTTTTGCTGTTTTGATAATACGGTCTCACATTTTGCTGGTGCTGGCCTCAACTGTGATCCTCCTTTTTACATTCCCATTTTGCTGTGATGGCAGGCACTGGTCATTGTGCTTAGCTTTTAATTGGTTGAGATGGAAGTCTTTCAAACTTTTTGTCCAGGCTAGGCTTAAACAGCAATACTCCTAATCTCAGCCTCTGAAATATCGAGGCTTACAGGTGTGAGCCGCTGTACTCAGCTGACAGAATATATTTTATAGTTGGCTAATTAATAGCTAATAATTAACTGTGCTCAATGTAATAATTTTAAGGCTTAATTCATAAGTATAAAGATTTTTTTATATAAGAGGTTTTATATCTGGGTGGGGTGGAATTAAAAGCTATAAGTCTGGTTACTCTTTAAAAATATGACTTTATTACTCTCTAAAAATGACTTTCTCTGTATAGTATACTTGGTCCAAAATAATAAAATTTAGACACATTACTTTGCGTTTGTCTATTTGCCTTTAAACACTTCTATAATTTTTTCTTTCTATTGACAAAGGGTCTTGCTACATAGCTCAGGCTAGCTTTGATCTTCTTGCCAATTTCTTGAATGCTAGGATTATCGGCATGTACAACTACATTTTGCTTGATATTTTTCTCTTTCTACCTGTTCATTAAGTTCTGAAAATACACAGACTTTATGAAGTCTACCAAAGCGGAAAAAGACAACTGACAAATTTTATACTTAATTTTAATTTTCAAACTTTTATAGAATTTTTAAGTAGAAAAGCTTAATACTAAATAAACTGAAGTTCATAAAAGACAGACATTAAAACAGTGTGATACACACCTTTATCTTCTAGCATGTGCTCTGAGTCTGCTGGAAGCTTATGGAACGGTGTAGATACAAGTTGGGCAGCAGGTGTAAAATCTCTGGTGCTCTTAGGACTGGGTGCAAGGGTTTTGTTGCAGCGAGTACCCCAGATGGTTGAATCATCTAAAAACTCTTCAGTGTGAGGCATTTCCTACAACAGAGGATGAACTGAAAAACAGCAATACTTTCCCTGTTTTGTCTATGACATTTTAACTCATTAACATGTTAAGATGAAGCCAGGTGCAGGTGACATAGACTTGTAGTGCCTGCTACTCAGGAGCCTAAAGCAGGAGGATCATTGGAGCTCAGGAGTTCAAGACCAGCCTGGACAACATAGTAAGACCTCATGTCAAAGAAACTAAAACAAAGCTGAAAAATGTTTATTAAAGAGGAATTAAGAAAATCAAATCTTAATTTTTACCTTTAGCACTTCTCAGAAGAGCAAAGCACATTTTTGTTTTTGCTTTTACATTTTTAAGTTTGAAAAAAAGTCTAGTTTTATTGAAGAGATACAAATACAGTAGTACACAGTTCTTCTCTTCAGTAAGAATTCTTTAACCTCTCCTAGAACCTGGTACATTCCAAAGGTAAACAATAAACTAACTTAAGACCTTATTAGGATTTCACAGTATGCTGCATTTAGCTGTCCTGCCTGCTAGTCTCCCCTCCACATGGCTATTTATGGGTCATTCTTACTTTTTTTTGCACTGACACTTTGGGAGACTGGCCAGCAACTGTGTAGGATGCCCCTCTAATTTAGGCTTATTTAATTTTTCATGGTTAGACTAGATTTACAGATTTTGAGGAAGACTGCGAAGTACCCTTTTCATACATTTCAATATAATTTATTACTGATGAGTTAAGCAAATCACTTGAGAAGGTATCTGTGAGGTTTCTTCATTATGAATTATTTTTTTCTTTCCCTACTCTATTTGTTAGAAGCAAGTTACTACATCTTGCCCAAACTTGAAAAGAGAATTACACTCCTGGAAAGACATCAGGAAAGAATTCATAGGTCCTTTATAAATTATACTGTTTATTCAATATTTATTCTTTGAGCCGGGCACCAGGGGCTCACTCCAGTAATCCTAGCTACTCAGCAGGCTGAGATCTGAGGATGACGTTCAAAGCCAGCCTGGGTAGGAATGTCCTTGAGACTCTTATCCCTAATAAACCACCAGAAAACTGGAAGTGGCATTGTAGCTCACATGGGAGAGTGCTAGCCTTGAGCTGAAGAACTCAGGAAATCACCAGCAAAGTAATTTATAATCACCAAGTTTATGATTATATAACATATAAAATTTGTGAGTCTAGTGAACTGCTTGAAGTTACACAAATTCTCTTAAAGTTCTTTAAAGAGGGGCTGGGAAGGTGGCTCCGTGGTAGTGCTTGCCTTGAGGCCCTGGGTTCTATTCCTCAGCACCACAGAAGCAGAAAAACCCAGAAGTGGTGCTGTGGCTCGAGTGGTTATTTTTAAGGTGTTTACTGAAGGGTTACCATTAAACTAAGAATCTTTAAAGAACTTTTTTTTTTTTCGGTCATGGGGCCATAGTTATATTAAAAAAAGATTCTTGTTTCCCATGGTTAGCATACATGCATGGGCCCTACCTGCAGCAGGTACTAGTGATTTCTTAAGAGTAAGAATCATATCAACTTCAATATTTTTCTATCCCGGTATCTGACATATTACAGGTACTCAAAAAGTTGTTGAATAATGCTTTGAAAGAAACACATTCTTCATAGAACACTATATTTTCCAATACAGTTGGACATACCTCAGACCATTTGGAGAACTAATCAATTCCTAAAATGAAAAGAGTTGTAAAGATCCATTTCAAAATAAACCAGAGATTTGCTTACATTTTGTTTTGAAGGAAATCTGCTAACAGAGCGTTCCCCGAAGGTCCTGGATCCTGGAGGCTTATTTTTAGGCTGTGGTAATCTAAGGAGAGATTTGAAAAATTCAGAATCCTAAAATCTATTGATAAAATAGATGCTACACTTAAAAGTGAATGTCAGAAGATTTTCCACTTACACGTGAGTTAATAGTTTTAGGTATTCTTATTTTTACTACCATTCTACAAAACAATGCAAACTGAATCACCTATAAACATTATTGATCTAGAATTACTCAAAAGGGGTGGAAAATACAATTTCTGTCAAATTCAGTTCCAAGTTTTGGGGGCAAAAGAAGAATAAGGAGTATGAAAAGTGAAATGTGAAGGATTTTATTTATAAAATGTCAGTTATTTCTTACTTCCTGTTTCTGGCCTACCTCTGAAATATTGCTCTGGACGCTGATCGTGTCTTCTTTCTGCTTCAATGAAGTTTTTCCCTATCAGGATACTGGTAATTCACACTGACATCTCTTGTTCCATGGTTTAAGCTATGAATAGTGAGGCTTTCAGAGCCACCCCTCTCTAGAGTCTGATGTGGCTCTCCAACATTAGTCCCCTGCCGAACGTATTCTTTAAGCAACATTACTCATCAAAAGCTACTTCCTTTACCACTTATCCTCCTGCAAATATAAATTGGGCCTGTATAAATACCTGTTCCTCATCTACATCGAAAATAGTTTTGAATCAAGAGAATCCACCAACTGAGCCCTCTCTCAAGCTGTAACCAGACTCTAATTTCCTTCACAACTATCCTTTTGCTGTGGCAGGTCTGCTGTCTTGGATCGTCTACACAGAACTGCAGATAGGTAGAACTTTGGTAATTAGCTCCTGGTTACAGGGTCAAATAGGTTGTCAGTGGCAGAGCTAGGACTGGAACCTAGACCATCTGGTCAGCAAGCTGTGTTCTTCCCAAACTGTCTATCACCTTGAGTCCTGCAGGCACCTCCATAGATCCTGTGGCACTGTGACAACATGCATTCTCCCCAATATTATTTTAATTAGATATTTCCTTACCCATAATTTTCTTGGTTTCCATCTTCAAAAATAGGGATAGCAGATGACAAAGACATAATCTTATTGATCCCCCAAGTTCCAGAAGACGTTGCATTTTCTGCAAGAGAATAAAAAAATAGCATTTCATTATTTTCCTAGGGGAGGAAAAATCACTATCCTTTACATTAGACATTAACTATAAATAAGAAGAAACAACTTACATAAAAAGAACTGGTATCAGTTTTAATAATACTAATTAGTGCAGGAAGTCACTTTGTAGTGAAATGAAGTGACTTAACTATGGTCACTGGGTCATAAATTCCTTTCGTACATAAATAAAAGTATTGGTCATTTTCCTGCAGCACTGCTACTGACATTGAATTATTCAATAAAAGCTCCCAGTGGTTTTGTTTTTCATTTCCTTTATGAAATAAACTATCAGCTTGTATTTCTAGCCCTCCTAAATCTAACTAGATCTTGCAAATAAGTATTGTGACCTCTAGCTCCTAGCATGGGCTCCAACATTCCACTTGGCCATTTCTCTACCACAACCAGTTCAAGTCACATCTCTTTCTGACCATTTCTAACTATGGGGATTTTGTCCTTCTTCAGCACTGCTATATTTTAAAAAAAAATCTATCACTCACACTGTCACCTTATCAAATTGTCATATTTTTATTTCATGTGTTCCCTATCCTCTTATATAATCCCTGATAACACCTTTGGTAGCCCCCATGATGCTATGTACTTAGTAAGTTTTAAACCAATTGTTACTTTGAAACTGGGCTTCAAATTCATCTTCATTTTGATCTAGTGATGTCCATTCATCTTTGTCATCAAAAACGTCAGGAATTGTAGGAGCCTGAAATATGTTCATGATGAAACCTTAAAGAACAAAAAGAATACTTGTCAAGAGGTTACAAAAGAGCTTTCCTTAATTTGTTATAGGGGTCACACACAAAATTATATACTTTACCTAATGCTTCCTTGGTATGCACAGTGGGTGACGGCTGCACTTTGGATGGTGTTGCTTGAACCATTCCTAGTGAGGTGTTCGGAGTTGTGTGAAATGAACTTACACTAGCTACCTTCTGTATTTCACATGCTGGCAAAGGAATGAATCAAAATGTACTGTCAGTAGCTCAATCAGAATACAATGCAAGGCACATTGAGGAACTCAGTACAATCAACAAGCTTACCACAGTCAATAATAACTAAAATTATTTATTGTTTTCATATACTTGGTACTTATCTTTGTAATAGTACTATGCAGTTGGTATGATGAGGAATATCCTTTTACAGAAAGCAAAATGAAGGCTCAGGGATGAGCCATCTGTTCTGTGAATGACCCACTTAGCAGTTTTGTCATAAATAGCATCCTCAGCTTTCCTGTATCATAAAACTACCTGCTTATAGTTATGCTCTAAATCTTTACTCTTAACACTGTAACTCTTAAGATTTGCTTCCATCTCACTCAGATGGAGTCAGACAACGGTGTAAAAAGCTCTGATCAGCCCAACCTGTTTGCTTAGGTCATATGCAACTGCTTCTTCCTTCCCCTGCTCACCCTATAGGTGAGAAGTGTCTTTACTGAACTTAGAACATACCAGAGGCATTCCTGAGGGCTCTGTGCTTGCTACTCCTTCTGCCTAAAACAGACTTGTCAATTTAGCTATGTGGATAACTCCTATCTCTAGTCATTCATTATTACCTTCTCAGAAATCCAACCTCAGAATTAATATAGTGTCCCTTACTATATCGGGGTTCACTTATTGTGGCTTCACTGTATTACAGGTTAAAAAAAATATTTATCTAATTTGATAGAGTTTTCACCATATTGTAGGATTTTGCAGTATATAGGTATTTACATAAGTTATTTTAATTATTTTTGTGCAAATATTTTAAACCATATAACACTATAAATGTTAATTAAAACATTAAGATAATAATAAATTGAAATAAAATACAGTATGTATTTCATCAGTGGATGAAAACTATTGTACATAATGGAAATGCAGTAAGCCATTACCGTGTGTGCAAGTTTGCCAGTGTGAGATTGTACAAGGCACACTACTGGCTGATGAAATGGAAGGTGAACAACCACAGCACTGGATGCTGATTGGCTCAGTGACTGTAGCATTGGTCTGTTTGGTCTCCCACATTGTGTCGATACATTAAGCATCTCTCCCTGTCCACTTCACATCAACAAATTGATTACTACACAAAGTGTTGCTCTGCCATGGTGTGAAATTTTCATAGAAGTTTGAATTTATTTCAAGCCCCATGATGCCACCTAAACATTCTGTGTCTTTGCTTCTGGGAGCCAACCCAAGTGCTAGAGAAAGATGATTACCATCAAAGGAAAGGTGGAACTTCTTAACACGTTAAAGGAAGGAAAAAGCTATGCCGCTGTAGGCCGCCATTACGGGATCAACAAATCTACTGCTGGCTATATAAAGACAAGAAGAACATCAGTTTTGCAGCAACAATGATTTTTAACAAGATTGCAAAGTGGGTGGTCACTTCCTGCAATAAGGGCTTTATGAGGGTGGAGTCTGCATTGGCCTTCTGGATAAATGACTACAGCAAGAAGATCTCACTGGATACCAACACCATCTGGACAAAGGCCAAGAAACTTTATGATCGTTTTGCAGAAAGCATGGATGTTCACGATGGTGAGGAGGATGACGATGTAGAAGCAGGACTGTCAAGTGTTTCTACCATCAGATCAACCCCAGTCAGTGCCAGCAAGGGTTGGTTTGACAAATTTCAAAGATGCTTTAGACTCAAGAGCATTTCTCTGCATGGAGAAGCTGCTTCTGTAGATAAAGCTGGAGCCAGGTATATGTGAAAATGTTCAAATCCATCATCCAGGAAAGGGGCTATAAGCCTGAACAAGGTTTCTTTTATTTTTGGTCAGTCATGGGGCTGGAATTCTGGGCCCAGACACTGTCCCTCAGCTCTTCAGCTCAAAGCTAGCTGTCTACCACTTGAGCCACAGTGTCACTTTGGGCCTTTTCTGTTTATGTGGTGCTGAGGAATTGAATTCAAGGCCTCATGAATGTGAGGCGTTACCACTGAGACACCTTTGAAGCTCCTAAACACGTTCTTACATGGATGGGACAGGCTCATTTTGGAAACAAATGCCATCTCACACTTTTATTATGAAGGATGAAGTCAAAGCCCCTAATTTAAAGGCCCCAAAAGATTGAGTAACTCTGATTACATGTGGGAATGCATTTATTTTAAGTCTCAAAACCCAAGGGTCCTATAAAAGAAGAATAAGAATGTGTTGCCTGTGTATTGGATGCACAACTCCAAGGCCTGGATCATGAAACTCTCACAGCTGATTGGTTCCACCAGTGATTTATCATGGAGGTTAATCTTTATCTACCAGAGAAAAACAAAGTGCTTCTGACCGTGGGCAATGTCATATAATGGTATCCAGATAAGAGTTTTTGCTACCAAATACTACACAGCTCATTCACCTTGTGGATCAAGGTATTACGTCCACTTTTAAGGTGTTCTACACGTGAAATGCCCTGTAAAACTTAATTGAAGGTGTGGATGCAGGTGAAGACTTCTTGTTAAAGGCTTATTTGTATCATGGCTCCTAAATATTCAGAAGGTCATAAAGGAGATGAAGAGTGAAACAGTAAATGCCAGCTGGAAAAATTCATGACCAGAAGTGGTCCATGATTATAAGGAATTCTCCCGATGAAGTCCATCACTCTGCCGTAGCAAAGGCTGTGAAGCTGGCAAAACTACTAGGAGGAGATGGTTTAAAAGATATGACATGAATGACCTGATCAATATCCACTCAGAACCATTGACAGATGAAGATCTGATGGAGAGGACAAAGTCAGCAAGCGAAGAGGATGAGGAACAAGATGAACTAAAGCTTGGAGAAGAGAAGGTTGACCTAATACTTGATCGTCTTGCAACTATGGATGGGATGGCCAAGAACTTCAGCAAGTGGCTGAAGAGTGGGATCTCCATATGCTTCATTTGTTGCACTTCGTAAATACAATTGAGAGTGGCATGTCAGCTAATGACAGAAATGTTTTTTCTTGCTTGCTATTGTTTCTAACATGTTTATGAGATATTTCTTTGTTGATTTGTATGTCCCTCCCCCACAGTATAACCCCTGTTTTCATTGTATTTGATGTTGGTATAATTTGTGGAGGGAAAGGGAAAAACAAATTGTTTAAACAGAGATACAGGTAGACCCACTGCAACAATGAGATGTGCAAGATGTTATGTCAAAAATGAACTTTACAACTTTGGCTCTGGAGGGGGTGAGTGAGGGGGATGGTGATGAGAAGGGATGGGAAGGGGAAACAAAGGAGGAGGCAAACAAAGAAGGGAGCAACAATGCTTGATAAGAAATGTACTCATTACTTTGCCCGTGTAATTGTAATCCCTCTGTATGGTATTTTCACAATGAAAATAAAAAAAAAGCTCACTCAGAAGAAAAAGAAGTGCCAGCAACTCTCCATAACAATGTTCATCACTCAGACAAAAAGTTTCGCCTATGACTTTAACAGAAATAGAAGTTACGGCCCAGGGTGAAAATACCGCACCACCTGATGAAGTGGTACCTTCAGCAGAGCTGTAATGCTCTTCTTGTCTTTGCAGTATTCATCTCATTGGCATCACCTTCACCGCCATCAGCACTGCACAACTACATAATTCATGATCTTCATTGTTCAAGTTGTAGTATACTTCACTGACAGTACTCATATATAATTTTGTATGTTGTTAAAATTTCATAAGTTAAAGACTGTACTAAGTGTTTAAGAGTATATGAATTGGACTGGGAAGGTGGCTCAGTGGTAGAGCGCATGCCTTGCATGCCCGAGGCCCTGGGTTCAATTCCTCAGCACCACATAAGCAAAAAGAAAAAAAGCCGGAAGTAGTGCTGTGGCTCAAGTGGTAGACGCTAGCCTTGAGCTGAAGAGCTGAGGGACAGTGCCCAGGCCCAGAGTTCAGGCCCCATGACCAGACCCAAAAAAAAGAGTATATGAATTATTTATAAGAGTGTGGGAAACGTTAATAAGAAAGTGGGAAAGGTTTATAGGAGAGTAGGGTTTATAAGGCCTTAAAATATATAAATCATAAAATAAATATTATGCTGCTACTTCATGTATTGTCACCTATTGCAGGGGTCTCTGGAATGTAATTCCCACAATAGGTGAGGGATCATTGTACTTCCTGTCCTGGGAGACTTTCATTGTTCTGTTCAGAGCTACCTCTCAGTATAATGCCTGTTTTCTGGAGAACAGGCAACATATCTTGGTGCAATCAACAAGTCTCAGCTATTTGGTGTAATGGTCAGCTGTTTCAAGGAGCCCGTTTCCACAAATGGTCAGTGGATAATCATGCTACCTTCATATGGAGGAAAAGTTCAAATGTCCAAATATCCAAATGAGACCTATTAATGTATACAACTTATCATCAATCAGCTATGCAAATGCCTCCAGTAGAGTAGCAAATAGGATTATATAGTATTAAACACTGCATTACTTTTCCCAACTAACACACTAAAGATGACAAGCATTTTACATTAAGATGCTGCTAATAGAAGTTTTCATAAATTAGGTTTCTGTTTGTATGTGTGTTTGTTTGTTTTTGTTGGTCATGGGGACTGAACTCTGAGCCTGGATGCTGTCCCTCAGCTCTTCAGCTCAAGGCTAGCACTGTACCACTTGAGCCAAGCACCACTTCTGGCATTTTCTGTTTATGTGGTGCTGAGGAATCAAACCCAGGGCCTCATGCATGCAAGGCAAGCACTCTACCAATGAGCCACTTTCCCGGCCCCAATAAATTAGGTTTTCAAAGGATTCTGATCTATGAAGAAGTGGATTTCTACTTTGATTTGAAATGGTCTGGGGCTCTGCTCTCTAATAACAAGCTTGCTAAACTTAGGTTTAGTAAGGTCTGTCTGAAGTTTCCAAAAGCACAGCTACAACACAGACAATGAGTAACACCAAGAGAAATCTGCCCAAACAAGTCAGGATGAAGTTGTTATAATGAAACACACCTTCTTTCATTTCAGTCCCAATCTGTGGCTTGAACTCATGAGTAGTCTGATTCATACATCTGGAAAAGAAAGTTCTTGAGATATGCTGAAGAATAAAACTACATATATACCTTTTGCCTAATTCTCAAGACATAATAGTAAAAGAAATTAGGCAACAATTATAAGCCCGTGGTTAAAACACAGATAGAACTCTAGGTCCATGTTATAAGTCAATGTTATTTTTTTTTCCTTTCAGATATTTTTCCTTTCAGTTAAAGAAAGTCTTACAAATAAATCCATGTACTGATACTTGTGTAAATTACTGATTCTGAATTTTAGCACCATAATAACCATCTCTTTATGTGTCAGGATAGCGTAACATCTTCTCTAATTTAAATGCATTCATTTATAGTATAGGTTAAATGTAACATCCAGTTCCAGGCACCTGAAACAGGGGAAGCTCTGGTGTTTCAGTGATGAGCCTACAGTCACAAAATAATGTCCGGATTAAAAATAACAGCTACCAAAGAAGAAAGCAAAATGTATGCAAACCAGAGCTTGTTTGAAAAGTATACTTGGGGCAATGGATCTCATCTAATACTTCTAGAATTCCCATAAAGGAACCTTAAAATGTTAACTAAAACATCTTAAGAAATTTGAATTTTACACATTCTTATCAAATCACCAGTTAAAAGACTTCTGCATGACTGAAGATATAAATGTAAAACAAACAACTGATATGAACTTTCAATTTCTGCAATGTAGAAAAATTCTGCAAAACTGAGGAAAAGGCCTTCAGAGCAATGTGAGGGTAAATCTTGGCATATAGTCATGGACAATGATACCAAGTTGTTTCCAGTGGGAGGACAGAAGGACTGAGAAAACATGGCAAGTAACTATCTGGATAGTAATAGCATTTGCAGGTCCTCAGTTAAAAGTAAGTTCAGTTTGCAGCTGTATATTTTTCAAATGTAAGTGATTTAGGATTCAGAAAATGGAAAATTATAATTCAAGAGAAAAGGGTGAAATGAAACAACTTTTCTAAAGAAGCATGTCATAAAATAAGTGTGACGGATTTGGGGTGTTTTTAAACAACATACTTGCTCCCAAAACTATTTAAAAAAAGTAAGAATCCTTCATTTTCAAATACTGTTCTTGACATTGTGGATCATGAAAAGAGACTGACAAATGCCATTTAAATAACTCATACCTTCAGGACTACCTCGGGCTTACCTGGAGTCTGTCATTGACTGGGCCTTTAAAGGAACAGGAGGAGCTACACTCTGGCTGATGGCTGGGGACACCAAAGTAGCAGTAATAGTATTTGCTGCAAGAGGGACAACAGGTAGTGGCTCTTTAGGGTTCTCTGAGTTCTTTAAGGACTGATGACTGATGGCTGGAAGATTTGGAGCTCTCACTTCCCGCTGGAAGTCTACACTTGGCCCCATACATGCTGGAATGACCTATCATGTCAAGCAAAAAACAAAACAAAGCAAACAAAAAAACCCAGGATGTTACTAATCAGGCACTAGAGCTTTCTGAAGCATAGTGTATAGATTTCTTTCCCTTTGAAGCATACCTTACCACTTCAGCTATTTTAAAATGAAGCCTGCTACAAAAAAATGAAGAAGCTACAAAGAATTTGTAGCTTCTGAGCATGGACACAACCCACAGCTCAAATTTCTAACCACAAGAAAATAAACACCGTTTATAATATATCAGTATTTTAAAACTATCTTCCCTCTCTCTACTTAATTTGAGAAACTGACCAACGAATCAATGTTATCAAATGCTCACAATTGTGTCCTGCTCAAATACTCTTGGCAGCCATTTTCTGTTCAATAAATAGGCTATTTATGGGAAGGGTAAAAAGCTCTATACTTAAAAATCTTTGCTTCTCTACTATATGTACACAGATCCTAGGCAATGTTACAAAGTTAAAGACAGAGGGTTAATTCAAAGTATTCTTGTTAAAAAAAAAATCAGAAAAAAAACCCAAAAACAAAACAGCTGGGTGCTGGTGGCTCACACCTGTAATCTTAGCTACTCAGGAGGCTGAGATTTGAGGATCATAGTTGGAAGACAGCCCAGGCAGAAAAGTCCTTAATCTCTTATCTCCAATTAACCACTCAAAAACTGGAAGTAGTGCTGTGGCTCAAGTGTTAGAGAGCTAGCCTTGAGCACTAAGAGGCTCAGGGACACTGTCCAGGTCCTGAATTCAAACCCCACAAAACAAAAACAAACATCAAATATCTAGGGTAAAAATGTTGTTTCACAGAAATATGGACAAAATATAAGAAGTTCATCCTTCCTAGTCATCAAAAAGGGTAACTTAAAATAACTTATACTACTTTCTCACCTAACAGAATCATAAAGATAAAGAATCATAATACAATCCCTTATCTGAAATATTTTGAACTCAAAGTATTTCAGAATTTTTCAGTTTTAGAATATTTGCTTAGACTTACTAGTTGAACACCCCTGATTCAAACATCTGAAGTCCCAAAATACTCTGAAATTCTAAACTTCAGTACTAGCTGGCTATGTATGATGCTCAAAGTTTCAGATTTAGAGTTTTTCAGATTTCAGATTTTTGGATTATAGATGATCTATTATAGGTGATCTACCAGTATTCAATCTGAGTAAATATTTTAAGAAGAAAAAACAAGAGATGTACTGTACCAGATATCAAATATAAACAAGAAAGCTATAGGAAATATACAGTATAAAATAATAAAAAAAGCTCTATTGACAAAAATAAGGATATATTTTAGAAATGGATTCTTCAAATATAGATTTGGCATGTGAGAATTTTGATAAGGTTTTTGCCTACACTGGTCAACCCATTTGGACAATATATCTCTATACCACTGTATAGACAAATTCCATAAAGCTTTTGGCTTAGGACAGGAGATTAAGCATATGATTTATAATCTACTCCCAAGCAGACCTCAGAGAAATGTTAACACCTAAATAGCTGCTGGACTAGTCTAGGGGTTCCCTGGCCTCTAGAATGCATTAAGTATTTCTGTTGAGAAAAAAAACACACCCTTAAAAACCACTATTGTAGGTAGATACAGCTATTTATCTTCATGTTCCACCTGAAAAGGAGATGGGAGGTTGGTATCTGGAGAATTGTTCAAGAAGACTCTAGACTAGTAGACTACAAAAGAGGGTGTAATGGATACTATGGACTAAAAGTATCATATGTACAAGAATGCTCACTGCAACATGCTTTGTAACAGCTGCTATAGGACATATGTGTCCTGTAAGGAGTGACAGAAGACTGTACTATAATATGAGTTGGATTGCTATGCAAGTGAAAGGCCTACAAGATGTGCTAGGTTCAAAAAAGCAGAAAATAAGTCTTCTTTAAGCTGAAATGTCACAGCAAAACACAAACCACAGCAGTATCAGTGAAGAACATCCACTGATACATAAATATGTGTATATATCCATGTATATACATACATGTTCAGTAACAAATGTTCTTCCTAAAAAGATACAGGCTTAAATAAATATACCTATAGCATACATTTTTATTAGATTTAAAATAAATCATATATATATATACATATATATATGTACATATACATATATATATGTATATATATATATATATATATATATATATTTTTTTTTTTTTTTTGGTGGGTCCTGGGGCTTGATTTCAGGGGATGGGTACTGTCCCTTTACCTTTTGTGCTCAATGCTACTGCTCTACCATTTGAGTCACAGCTCTACTTCTGGCTTTTTTTGGTGGTTAATTGGAGATAAGAGTCTCATGGACTTTCCTACCTGGGCTGGCTTCAAACTGTGATCCTTAGATTTCAAACTCCTGAGTATCTAGGTTTATAGACGTGAGCCACCAGCACCTGGCTATATATTAAAAATAATTTCAAAATATTCTCAAATAAGGCATATGATTATCACAGTATTCTTTTTCATGGACAGGAACTCATTATGTAAAAGATTAAGCAAATATTATGAACTTTAAATTAATACTCAATAATTGCAAACACCACCGGGTGGGTTACAGTCCTCACTGGAAAAGAGCAGGGACATACCTCAGACCTTTCTGGAAAAGCAGAGGGGTCCTGGTAGGATGGCTCCCCGACTTGGTGCAATTTTTTGTGAAGCTCATCCATTTTCTTTTTTAATAACTGTTCTTCAAAAGCACTAGCCTCCTTGCTCTTCATATAATGTTTGTCTTCATTTACTTTAGAAAAGACAGTTTGTTTACAAAGCTTAAATCCAGGTCCTCAGAGGAATATATATAAAATGAGTAAAAGGTCCCATTTTAGGATGGCATTGTCATGCTCATATTTATTAAGTTTGGTCAGTCGTGGGGCCTGAACTCTGGGCCTGGGCGCTGTCCCTCAGCTCTTCAGCTCAAGGAGAGCGCTCTACCACTTTGAATCACAGTGCCACTTCCAGGTTTTTCTGCTTATGTGGTGCTGAGGAATAGAATCCAGGGCCTCATTCATACAAAGCAAGTATTCAACCACTGAGCCACACCTTCCCAGCCCATGTATTTACCGTTTAGTTATAACCTTTATCTATTACCACCATGGTTACTATTATATTCAGGGCATATATGAATTGTAAGGAATTGACATGGTGATCAACAATATTATTTGCTATTAGCCCAGTATAATACTCAATACTTTTTATAAGCAATCATGACTTTGAAAATGATTTTTCATTTCAGTTTTTCAAAGACAAACTTCAAGCAACATGTTGAACTGAAAACTCTTTGTATAACTACTTTAAGATAATAATAATACAAAGAACTCTCCAAGTACTTTTGTGAAGTACATTAAAGTGCATGGAGCACACTGTGATTAGCTTACTTGGCCATACCACAGCCTGACTGGAGACTTACACCTATCTATGCACAGCTCAAAATGGGTCCAGTCCTGTATGAAGTAGGAATTGATCCTTGTCTTGGTTGTTGATCAAACATAAATAATATTCTCACAAAATAGTTATAGTCTCATCTACGTAGTAGAGAATCTTGAGTGGAAGATTCATTTTCCTAGGGTCTATGTTGTTATAAGAGCCAACTCTATTAAGGTATACATTAGTGAGGAACTAAATTTAGCCCTCTCTATAGCCATAAATAATATGGCACATTGATCAGAGAACTCCTTTTGTTTCATTTGTTTAAAGTAGGTAAAGAACTTGGAAAATCTCTTCTGAACTTTCATTTCCAATCTAATCCTGTCATAGTATAAGTAAGTGGGTCAGCAAATTTCGAATTGCTGTACACAAGTACAAATCCACACAGATCACACTGAAAAACCTTTATGACATAGATTCTTGTGCAGTGTTCTCTCTACATGAGCAATGCTGTGAAGACAAGGACTGAGTTAGCATACAAGCATGGCTGCCATGTTCATGTTTAGCAAAGATTTCCAAGCCTCTTACAGATAAGCTACACACATTTTCTGCAATATGTCAGCATTGTCAATTATTTGATCAAAAATGCAATTACTATTTTAAATGACATACAAATAACTCAAAATATGAGATACAAGTACCCCATTGTTCATGCTTCCTTCGTTGATTATATTTCTGGGCTCTCAGCTCCTCAAAGGAAAATTCTGTGTCTCCACGAATAAGCTTCTCCTTGCAGTACATAACGACCTGCTGCACATCAGCGCTGGCTGCCGAAGATGAGTGTGTAGAGCATTCTGATTTAGAAATCATGAGTACCCTTTGTTCCCAACAAGGGAAAAAGACAACATTTACGATACTGGAAATTTACACTCTGAAAGGAAACTAAGTAATAGAGCAATGATTATACTTGCATATTTGGCTCTTTGTTACCAGCTGAAGATATTGCTCCAGAGACCTCAGAACTCTAAGAGACAGAAAACAAACATAAGTGACCTTTACTAAAAACAACAACAGCAACAAAAAGAAAACAAAGTCAACTTCATCCCAAATCAATATGAAAATGTTTCAGTGGAAGAGCCTGGACTCAAATAGATTTATACATGTGCTCATATTATGATTAACAGCTGAAGCTTTAGTTTGCAACACTATCATAACTTTTCCTAATGAAAAACTCACCAAGAACAAAACACATAAAACTGAGCAATTATGTTAATCCTCAATAAATCCTTGTACACTTGGAGATAGAGACCAAAAAACCTCAAGGTTTGAAAGACTCCATCTCAAGTAATGGGTAGGTAGGGTAGCATGCAGTATTATCCCAGCTACAGGGGAAGCACAATGGCTAGGCACAGGGCAGGGGAATTCTTGGTAGGGCAAAAAGCTCCATGGGAATAAAAATCATACATGGCAGAGAAAGACAAAGTTACACTTATTGGTTGGTGCTGATGGCAGATGAAAAGGTATCATTTGATGCTTCTGAAGAAATAGTATTTTTTCCAGTGCATAAGAATAAAGTTAAAGGAAGATAGGTCCCAAGTTTGAGAAGAGCAAAAAGAAGTCTAGAGAAGAGTGAAAAGATGTTTAAATCTCTATAATTAGGCCTTAAAGGGTGAACTGGGAAACCTAACAGATACACAAGACATAATGAGTGAGCTGGGACACTGGAAGGAGAGTCCTGGTTGAGGTTATGGGCACCAAGACTTTTTATTTTTTTCAGCAAGGCTCAGTAACTTCCAGTTAGAAGCGACTCAAAATAGGGATTTCTTTGGCCAGTGAAAGAAACTGGAAGAGAGAGAGAAGGCCACTGACAGATAAGGAAGTGAGGACAGGAGTTGTGTGGTGGGGATCCTTGGGTCTGATGACTGCTAATATGAGTTGACCAGGAGTAGATGACAATAGGCCAAGGAAGCTGCATGAAGGTTGAGTGACAGGAGTCAAGGTCAAAGAAAAGAGAAGCCCAAGGGGATATAGAAAGTAGTCAAGATGGTCTGTTTAGTACATTCCTAGTTTTCATACAACTTAAAAATGTCTTTATTACCTGACTCTTAGAAACATAGGCTGGGTTTTTTTCTGGATTTGATTTTGATGCTATTGCTTGGTTTAAAATCTGGGCATTTTGCAGAGGTTCTGAGGTGCCAGCTATGAGATGAGACAAAGTAAGGAAAAAATATTAAAATACTGTATAATACATTCCCTTGCTCATTCATTCCATGCACTCACATTTTTCTCAGAAAATGGAATTAAAACATTTTTTAAATCCAAATATTATACAAACAATTTTCCTATCAATTAAAAACACCCAAAAAAGTATAGGAAAGAAACATAAAACGTTGCTGAGTGCCAATGGCTCATACCTAGGAAGCTGAGATCTAATGATCGCAGGTTGAAGGAAAGTCCCTGAGACTTTTATCTTCAATTAATCACCAAAAAGGTAGAAGTGGGGCTGTGGCTCAAGTGATAGAGTGCTAGTCTTGAGCAAAAAAGCTCAGAAACAGTGCCCTGAGTTCAAGCCCCAGTACAAACACACACCAAACATATCATCTTCCTTTCCCCAACACACATAATTTTTTTTCTATAGGAAAAAATGGGATCATATTTCCTGAATAGATAGATAGATACACATAGACGTAATTTAGAACAGAGTCTAGAATCTATTTTGGAAACTTTTTACTTTTTGAAACAGTATCCCTATGTTGCTCAAACTTCAGTTTCCTGCTTTGGCCATTCAAGTGTTGAAATCATTGGGATTACAGGAGTAATCTACCATACCTGACAATATCTTTTATGTATGTATGTATGTATGTATCTATCTATCTATTTATTTTGGTCAGTCCTGGGGCTTGAACTCTGGACTTGGGTGCTGTCCCTGCACTCATCAGCTCAAGGCCAAGTGCTCTACCGCATGAGCCACCGCACCACTTCTGGTTTTCTAGTGGTTTATTGGAGATAAGTGTCTCACAGACTTTCCTGCCTGGGATGGCTTTGAACCATGATCCACAGATCTCAGCCTCCTGAATAGCTAGGATTACAGGCATGAGCCACCAGGGCCCGGCTCTGACAACATCTTTTAAATACCTCCCTGTCTCACTTGTTGCAACAGAATGAAAACATCAAGCTTTCCTTCTAAGTTTGCTCTATTAAAGTGCTAAGATATGTAAGACAGAAGTCTTGGTCCTAGGGCTATTTATAGGCTTTATTATTATTACAGTGCTATCCCCATGACCCAAGACAGTAGAGTATGGTTTTCATTAAATAGTAGATATATATTTTTGTTTTTTCAAGACAAAGAAAAAAATCAGTGAAAATTAAGAGACTCAATTATTAACAATCTAGATCTTTTAGAAAGGATTATTTACCTTGAGCTGGCAAACGTGTTTCAGTAAGGCGAGCCTGAAAGAACCTAAATGATGGTAGAAAAGATGTCAATGTAGATTATAAATTTAAAGTTGAACACATACATATATTCAAACAAACTAAATATAAGCCTGTGAACACTGAGGATGAAAAAGAACATAAAATGGAATTTGAGTTGCTTCAAAATTAAGGAATAAAATTCAGAGTGTATCTTCATATCTGAAATACCTAGTAGAAAATGTCCTTGCTGTGAGCAGAGGCTATCACCTGGAATCCTAGATACTCAGGAGGCTGAGACCTGAGGATCACAGTTTCAAGCCAGCCCAGACAGATAGGTTCATGAGACGCTAACTACCAAAAAGTCAAAAGTAGAGCCTGTGGCTCAAGTTGTAGAGCACTAGCCTTGAGCAAAAAAGTTCAGGGACAGTGTCCAAACCTTGAGTTTGAGCCTCAGGACCAGCATACACACACACTCAAAAGTCATCCTTTTGCCCAGGTTAAGTCTACATTTCTCAAATCCACATGAGATATATACTTTTTTCCATGTCTGAAGTCTGCAAATATAACCCAGGGTGTTTGAACTCCTACTTTAGCTATTTTGTACATTTGGAACAAAATGAATATAACGTTTTGAAGAAAGAACTGAAAGTATAAGACTTCAAAAGGCAGACAGATTAATACTGTTCAGGCAATGAGAAGTTCTCAGATATGTCATTTCATGGCACTTTTACATATCAACCGTCAAAAATGTATAGTTCCCAAGCCTGAGCAAGAGTATATATGAAGGTTGTAAGGAAGAGATATACAACAAAATGCTAAACACAGCTTAGCTCTTAATTTAAACAAATCAATTGCAACCAAACCTTTTTACATGATGAGGAAAGACAGAAAATTAGATGATATTAAATTATTGTTATTTTTATTAAATGATTATGGAGTACAAGTTGTAAGAAATAATCTTTTGGAGATATTTATGTGGTAGAGTTTGAGGCAAAATATCTGCTGCTCTGGAGCTGCTTTAAAATTCATCAGCACAGAAAAAAATGACAAACCATTAATAATTATTAAAAGAATGTGCTGTATAAATGGAGGTTTCTTAATTTTTTAATTTTATTTATTGTAAAGATGCTGTACAGAGGGGTTGCCCTTACATGAGTAAGGGAATGAGTACATATCTTATCAAGCATTGTTACCCCTTCCTTTGTTCTCCCACTATCCTTTCCCTCCCTCTCCCCTCCACCCCCCATCTCATCACCCCACCCCCACAAAGTTGTAAAGTTGAATTCCAATATACTGTCTTGTGGGTATCATTGTTGCAATGGGTCATCAAATGGTGGTTTATTATACTAATTTTTCTTTTTCATGTTTTTGAAATTTTTCATAATAAAAATATTGAAGTACAAATACTATAGCAAAGTATTCTCTTTTTTTTTTTTTGCTGGTCGTGGGTCCTGAACTCTGGGTCTGTGCGCTGTCCCACAATTGTCACCACAATGATAATAGTAATATTTCTGGGCAATTTCTTTTCTTTATACTATTCTATATTGAGCACATTTCCCACAAGAAGGATTTCCCACTAAAATGGATAGCACAAATTTCTTTTTTTTTTTTTTTAATTGTTGTTGATTGTGGGGCTTGAACTCAGGGCCTGGGCACTGTCCCTGAGCTCTTTTGCTCATGGCTTGTGCTCTACTACTTTGAGACACAGTATCACTTCCAATAGCATAAGTGTTTTAAAAGCAAATATTCTATTCTTATTTTGAAACTACCTGTACTGTTGTTGCAGTAGTTCTCTAGGTTCAGCTTGGTTCTGAATTCCTCTCCGAAAAACAGCACTGGCATGCTGCAGTTCTCCCAGGGCTTCTAGATGTCCAGCCCAGAAAATGTACAGAGGAGATGACAGGGTTCCAATTCCCTGGTTGTACAGAAACTCAAAAAACTGATGGAGGTCATTGTTGTACTCAGCCTATAGGAACCCAACCAAAAACAAAAAAGAAAAATGAGATGGGGTGATTGAGAAGAGGTTACCAGGTATATGGGCTGTTGGACAGGGAAGGAGTAACTTCTAATAATGAGTAACAGCAGGATATCCTAGTAACAGGATAATTTTGTGTTTCAAAATAGCTAGAGAAGATTCTTAATGTTCCCAAAACAAAGAAATAATAAGCAACTGAGGTGATGGATATGTACTTAGCCTGTGCAGATCATTACACATTACATATATATATATATATATATATATTGAAATATCTATCATACTGCATTTCATAAACACATGTAATTACTCTGCATAAAAGTATGTAAATAAAGACACTAGGAATACTAAATCAATCCATAAAAATACATAAGGACAATGAAATTATTAGTATACGTCAGGTCCAGAATCCAGACAGCCCTCCACTGTTCAGTCCTCATAAAGGACTGAGGATAGACACTGCATAGGTAAAGGTGTGTACACTTTTGACAGCAAACCAAGCAGTTAGGTTCTTTCCTTTCCTTAACATTCAATATTCTTAAAATTATCTGCACTATTTTCCAGGTGAGTGAGTCTGATAATTTTATTACATGAAATATTACTTTTCTCTTAATTTGAGCTTGTTCAAGTTCCACAGGGGCTTATTTTATAGCAGTGAACAAGTTCATGTTTACTCTTATTCACTCCATGTGTCATTTCTATTACTAGAGCCCATGCCCCAAGCTTTTATTCCAGGCTTTGTCCCAACCTCTTAAAGCCTGACCTATCATATCTTTTTAGTACTAAATTTAGTCTTTTTTGGGGCGGGGGTAGGGGGGTCCGGTCGTGGGGCCTGAACTCTGGGCCTGGGCGCTGTCCCTCAGGTCTTCAGCTCAAGGCAAGCGCTCTACATACGACTTGAGCCAACAGTGCCACTTCCGGCTTTTTTTTTCCCTGCTTATGTGCTGCTGGGGAATTGAACCCAGGGCCTCATGCATGCAAGGCAAGCGCTCTACCACTGATTCAGCTTCCCACCCCTAAATTTAGTGTTTGAGAGGTAGTTTTTATTATTGTGTATATTTAATTTGCTCCCAGAGGCCCTGTTAGTACCTGGGAGTTTCTGCTTATCTTTATCTTCCCCTCACCAAATGTTTCTAACCCAACATACATTCTATTGTTTTACGCTTTCAGTTTATGTCTCATGCTGGAACACTTGCAGATTTGAAATAAAGACTATTTTTTAAAATTAAATCACTGTCTAAATACAGTGCATTTTCTTTCTAAAATAAACATTTCTGCCCATAAAATTAAAAAAAAAAGACTGGATAAAAGGAAGTTAAATAAAATACCAGCACCAAACAATCTTAAGATCTAGGGAAAAGCAAAACAAAACAAAAGAACATGATTTTGATCTGATTAGCCATCTGATAGTATACTTACAAATTTTAAGCAATAATTGATGAATCTTGGGTCATTGTGGTATCTCTTCACATCTAAAAATTCCTTCACTAAATGTTCTAATGACGTTATCAAGTAGTCTTTATTATCAGGAAAATTCTCTTCTATCCACTGCAAGTAGCTAGAAAGACACAGATAATGTTAGTTTTCAATAGAGTAGCATATAGTTGGTGTTAAGGGAAAAAGTAAAGTAAATACTGACCTTTCCCATTCTCCAAGTGGGTCACTGCCTTTGTAGTTTCGCATATGGGCCTCAAACATTCTAGAACAGTGAAAAGCACATATGTGAGATACTAAAGATAATTCTTAAGAGCAAAAAAAGAAAAAAATAGAAATCTCATTTATATCTCTTAACATAAAAAAACAAATTAGCAACACAAATGCTATAGTATAAAATTTGAAACAACATTCACTCAGAAGTAGTTAGAAAACTCAGAAGCCCTTTCCTGATGAAAGTTCATCTCTAGCTCTATCCCTGCCTCTCCTTCACTTGGTCCCAGTGGCATAGCTTCTTTTTTTTTCCAGTCATGGGGCCTGAACTCTGGGCCTGGGTGTTGTCCTTCAGCTCTTCAGCTCAAGGCTAGTGCTCTACCACTTGAGCCACAGAGCCACTTTCAGCTTTTTCTGTTTATGTGGTACTGAGGAATCAAACCCAGGGCCTCATGCATACAAGGCAAGCACTCTACCACTGAGCCACCTTCCCAGCCCTTGGTGTAGCTTCTTTGAGGGGCCATGTCTGGGAGCTTGCTGCTCTCTTCCTAACAGTAGGATTAAGAAATGATCCTACTCAGACCTCTCATCTTGCTTCCTGGAAGAATAGCTAGAACAAGATGGAAGAAGGCTTACACCTACTTGAGTGAAAGCCAGAGCACCACAACTTAAGAGTTTCCTGGGCTCCAAGGTAACACATTGCTTCTAAGGAAGAGCATACCACAGTGACGGTACATCAGTCACTAAAACTTTCAGAGGACTCTGCTTCTCTTATTTCCACATACCTAACTAAAGCAACTAAACAGCAGCCAGTCACAATGGCTCACTCCTATAATGCCTGCTACTCAGAGTTGGAGGTAGAGATCATAATCTGAAGTCAGACACAGGCAAAAACACAAGATCCTATCTGAAAATAACTAAAAGCAAAAAAGGGCTGGGGTGTGGCTAAAGTGGTAAAGCACTTGCCTAGTGAATATAAGGACTTGAGTTCAAACCACAATCACACACACACACACACACACACACACACACACACACACACACACACACACACACACACACACACACACACACACACACACAGAAAGAGAAAAAGAAAAAAATTAGCCAAACAAAACAAAACTCTTCTGGGAACTCAGATGCTGAGGCAAACAAATGAACAAAGAAAACATTTAATATGTCAAGTTATATTAAGTACTAAGAAGAAAACAAAACCAAACCAAACAGGAGAAGAGGATAAGAGTGTGGTAAGTGTTACTATTGAAGGGGATGACATGAGATCAAAGCCAGGCAGCCACACTATCAGGAGGGAAATGGTCAAACAGAGAGAACTTCAGGAACTGGCTACTTCCAGGAACAGAAATAGAATCAGTGTGGTTTAAATGTGATGAGCAGGAGAATGTAGAGTGACAAATTCAAATTCATTTTAAAATGTCTACTTTTTTCCTCTAAGAAGTAGGGGAATGGGGAAATGAGAACCACTTAGGAAGGACTAGAGTGGAAGTGGTGGATGGTATTGGGCCAGGGTGACAGAAGTACACATGATGTACATTTCAGAGGAAGTAGGGTGGGGCTTATAGATGGGACTGGTTTTATGAGAAATTGTAAGTTTTTATTAAAAGGGATTAAAATATTTTACAGGAGACCTAAAAATATATTTCTTTGGCATACTGAGTTATTCAAAGAAATTATAGATCTGCACAGCAACCTTTTTGTAACAGAAATTTGCCACAATCCCATATGAGGTCAACAGCTGACCTCTGATGCTTTTTATCTGCCTCATCTTTTTGTGACACTTTTTTTTAAAAGTAATTTTGTTATTATTAAGGTGTTGTATACAGATGTTACCATTTCATAAGTTCTGGGATACTTTTATTTTGAGACTTTCATGGACTTGTACATGATGAAATGTCTATACCTTTTCTTTTAAAAAATCTATATCAAATTATTCCAGAGAATAAATTAAGGAACCTTCAAAACAGAGGGAAAATATATTTCACTCTCTTCTAGATATCACCTTAGTACAGAAATGAAACCAACATTCCTCATGAATTAAAATCCAGATATCAAAACAAAGAAAGCAATATAAAGTCAACTGTAAGATAATACAAAGTTTCTTTGTACACATCAGATAAATAATAGTTTTTAAAAAAAAAAAACTACCACCAGAGACAAGAGAAATGACAAGCTGGGAAAAAAAAAGAACTTCTAAAAATTGAAAATGAATAAAGGCATAAAAGATAAAAAAAAAGCACTTCACTGAGAATTACCAGCTATGTGTGTCTGTGTGTACACGTGTGTGTGCTGGTCCTGAGGCTTGAAGCAGGGCCTGGGTGTTATCTCTGAGCTTTTTTGCTCAAGGCTACAACTTGAGCCACAGCTCCACTTCTAGATTTTGGGTGGCTAATTGGGGTAAGAGTCTCATGGGCTTTCCTGACTTGGCTGGCTTTGAACCACAATCCTCTTAGCCTTCTGAATAGCTAGGATCAGTGAACTGCCAGCAGCTGGCTTGAATTACAAGCTTTTACACATGGAAAATAAGTTCAAACTCTCTCAAAAGAGAAATCTACTTTATCAAAGTACAACTTCTCTCTTATGCATCTGATTGGGAAAAATAAAATGTGATACGAGCAAGAAAGTAGGTAACAGGAAGCAGGTATTCACATCTTTCTTGCAGGCAAGAGTGCATTCAATACCTGCCAATAGAGTTAACCATCCACTCCACCTTCACCTGTTTCAAAATTTTGACAGAATACCTGAAACTGTAGAACTATAATATTGTGTCCTTTATGTGTTGCTTTTTCTGATACATACGTAGGTATAATTAAACTTAATTTGTAAATTAGGCACAGAAACAGATTAACATGAATAATAATAAAATATTTATGCACAAATGAAGACTTTTTGGGGATGGTATCCTTTCTCCCAAATCAACTTCTTCAACTCTTTTGAAAACATGGCAGAACAACTTCTGTCTCAGTAGACACAGTCTCTTGAGTAATTTTATATTTTTTCAGCCCTAAGTTATTGCTGGATCTCTCTAGCCATCCCTTAGTTGTGCCAATGGCTTGGTAAGACTTACCGAAGTCTTTGTTATATAGGCTCTTTGCTGTCTGGTACAATTTACTGCTGACAGAATACATCTTCTGTTCTGTGTTTCATTTCCAAATTTAATGTCTTTTATATCTTAAGCACTTATCATATATTATGGCAATAACATTTGCAGTTTGTAAGTATGACAGCAAAATTTTCTTTTTCCTTCTTCACAATTTCATGGAAAAGATAAGAGGTTCTTATCATAGATCTTAGCAATTACACTATGAATTTCATTCATTTGTTCTTAAGTCAAACACTTGCACCTTTTCACCACTACAAGGAAGCATAATTTTGTATTCTCTTTGGCATATCTGAATTGCCAGCATCACATTCTTGTGCTTTGGAATCATTATTTAGGAAATTAAGGCGTGTGTACACAAGGCACTATAGAATACCACTAAGTCAATAGGTAGGATACTAAGGAATTTGGCCATGGTACACAGAGTCAAGAGTCATTTCCTCAAACTGCAAAGAGCAGGAAGGTGCAAGATTTCATCAGGCTACACAGAATAGTGTCCAATTTATTTTTCAATTAAATTTTATTTTAAAGGTGATATACAGAAGAGTTACAGTTACATAAGTCAGGTAATGAGTACATTTCTTTTTAAACAATGTCACCCCCTCTCCCTCATTTTCTCCCAGTTTTTCTCCTCTGACTCCCCTCCCAAGTTGTATAGTTCATTCCAACCATGTCTATTGAGTACCACTGCCGAATTGGTTTACTCTTTGTCCCACCATTTCTGTGCTTCCCCTTTTTCTCCCCAAATCAAATAAATTTATATACAAGACAAAGGGTACAGAAATCAAAAAGTGACCAAAGGGAATAAACAGAAGGAAAAAAAATAACTGCAAACAGGATAATTAAGAAAAACTTCATTTCCATTTCTTAGAACTCATTTCGATAAGCATCATTTTATGTGACCATATGCACATAGCTATTAGCTCTTGCGAGCCTCTCCTGAGAATATTCTTTTGGTTTCACTGTGTGACTGTTTAAAGTGCTGTATAATTAATCATGTCCAAGTGTAACTATTTGTCTTTTACTATCCATTGGATTTACTTGTAGATTTATAGGCACATTTCTAACTATTACAAATGAGGGAAACCATGAAACCTATGTATGTTTCTTTGGGTCTGGCTTACTTCACTTAGTATATTTTTTTACAAGTCTTTCCATTTCCTTACAAATGTCACAATGTCATTCTTTCTGATGGAAGCCTAAAATTCAATTGTGTATACATATATTTCTTGATCCATTCATCCATTGAGGGGCATCTGGGTTGATTCTAGATCTTAGCTATGGTAAACCATGCTGCAATGAACATGGTTGGGCTGTTGGCTTCAGTGCAGCCTGGTTTGTGGTCATGCAGGTGAATGCCCAGGAGTAGGATGGCTGGGCCATAGGGAAGGAAGCCTTATGTTTAGTCTCATCCAATTTAAAACTGAAGAAATTTCTGGATTTTCCATTTAAAAGAATTAGACCACAGATGTTTCAGGTAACTGAAACAGTGGGTAAGGGGATAACTGTAAACCTACTTTGGGAAATCTAGAAATCAGATACACCTGTGTATATGCCAAAAACCATATGCATATTAGTTTTACTGGAACACTATTTGTAATAGCAAAAGACAAATCAACAGCCCAAATGCTGTATGAATTTGTAAAACTTTAAAAAAGTATTTATGTATTTATTTCCAAGGATATTGTTAGGCAAAAAAATGTCATGTTTCTCTGCTACATTTGATGTGAGATAAAGGCAGGAAATGTACACACACCTACACAAACATAGATAGACTAAAAAATATATTTTCAAAAACAAACACTTGAAAAACTAGAAGGTTGGTTATATAGGATGGAGAGAGAATAGATAGGTATAAAAAGTTCCTGGAGAATACTTTTCTAAACCTATTTCTAAATTTGAATCTCTAATGCCTCCTTACATCAGGATAAATCCCTATAAGGTCAGAACCTTTCTCCCAAAAATGGGTGATACAAGTTTGCTCAAGATAAACAGTTCATGCTCTCAACATCAACCACATCCCTAGGAAAATAGCTAACACCAGTTAAAACTACACAGTCAGTTCATTAGAACAAATTAGCTTTAAAAAAAAAATCAAAATAGATCTGGCAGATTGCCCTTCTAAACCAGAGTTGGACTCCCTTTAAATGAGGAGTGGACTCCCAAAAGAGAATGCCTTCCTTGTTGGACTGATTGAAGACAATCTAAAAGACTTAAGCAAATGTTTGTTTTGACTATATTAGTTATCTGATCCCCAAGAGATGTTTAAAACACACACACACACACACACACACACACACGTTTTACTTCCTACTACACATGATTAAACCATTTTGCATGCTTTTAAATCACAGGCTGGGTCAGTCACCTAAGTTATAAAACAAACGTGGAACTTTAAAAAATGGTGATGAAGGGCTGGGAAGGTGGCTCAGTGGTAGAGCGCTTGCCTTGAGCTGAAGAGCTGAGGGACAGCGACCAGGCCAGGAGTTCAAGCCCCACGACCGACAAAAAACAAAAAAGGTGAGGAAAATGGCAGGAATGATCCGACAATAAGCAAACCTTTTTTCTCCCTTCCGTCAAGTGCCCGGTATTCAAACCTCGATGGGTGTGAGAGCGGGGTGAATTCTCGCTCCGATGGGGTCAGCATTTTTGATTTACTTTTATAGTTTTCGTTATGCCGAAATCGCACCGAGGTGGCGCTTTCCTGCCACCGAGGCGTCTGTCCAGACCTGGGTCCTCACGGACGAGCGACAAGAGCTCTAGGCCTCACACCTCGTCCCGTCCCCACACGGTCACAGGGCAGACAGGTAGGCGGGCGGCGGTGGGGTGTCCTCGGGCGCGGCACCCACCACACGAATGGCTCCGGAAGCGGCCGGGGCTAGGGAGCGGTGGGCCGGGCTGCCACAAACCCAAAGCCGGGGGGGGGGGGGGGGGTGGGGGTGCGGGGAGGAGGGGAGATGAAGGAGGTGGGGAAGGCCAGGGGACGCTGGGAGCTGAGCCCAGCACACAACCTGTGGGACGCTGGGCCTGCGGCGGAGGGCGACGCCCTCGCATCGCTCCCACCCCTCCAGAAGGACTTACTGAAATACATTTTCCGGGTTGTCCATGGCGAGGAGGACGCGGGGACGGCAGCAGGCCCAGCTGCTGCGTGAAGACTATTCGAATCTCCCGCGCAGCCGCAGACTCTGCGCCGAACGTTGGCGAGACGCCTGGCTATTGGACACACTGCAGACGGGCTGGCCAATCGCTGGGGCCGTTGCCGGGAGACCAGGTCCCGCCTTCCCTCTCCTGGAAGGTCCTCCCACTTGCTCTTGGCCTAGGATAGAACTGAAACCGAGCGACCTCTGAGGTAAGGTGTGGAAGTGCGGGCGTCCGCGCCGCCAGGGGGCGCGAACCTTGGTTCCGGCGTAGGGATTAAAAACTCTCCAAAGTGCAATGGATTTGCACAATGCCAGGATTAACATTTTGTCCTAGGAAGATATCTGGAGACGGCGTTTGGTCCTCAGAGCGGCGTCCTCTGCGTGCCGTTTGCAGTTGCTGTGTCTGGTTCACAGAGAGATGCAAAAGAATCCAGATGGTCCAGTCTGTCAAGCCAGGGGAGATGCTGGAGTATCCTTTAGGAAGATAGGCCAGGGAGACAGAGGCTCAGCCGGGACAACTAGCTCCTCAGGAGGCTGAGGTCCGAGGTTAGTCGTTCGAAGACAGCTGAGGCAGGGGCTTCCCTGTAAAGGAATGGGGCTGGGACTCTTACAGACTTGGGGACTTGATGTCATTGATCTGACAGCGTGTGTAAGTGTGTGTGTGTGTGTGTGTGTGCGTGCGTGTGTGTGTGTGTGTGTGTGTGTGTGTGTCTTGGAGTGATGAGTTTGGGCAGGTAATGGAATATGTGAAAGTTCAACATATTTTGTAGGACGAGGCACTCTGGAGACCAAACTCAGGAATTTTAAATCCTTTAATTAGGGACTTGAACATCTAAAGAAGAAATGTGTAATATGTTTACGTGTCCTAACAGTGAGTTGAAAAGGAATTCAACTTCAATCAAGCAGTCTCTGCTCCTTGGATTTTAATAACTTCCCATTCTAGCTCAAGGTTGTCCTAAGGACCTCTGGAGAATGCAAGTAAATGGTGAAGAGCTCTTTGTGACTACTTTCCCTTTTGAAAGAGGTCCTCTAAAATTCCTAAATACCTTATTAAATCCTCATGCTCTCAGAGTCCATAATTTCTGTAGCATGTTGATCATTGTGTGTGTGTGTGTGTGTGTGTGTGCGCACGCGGGCGCGCACACGCGGGCAAGCGGGCATGCATGTGCACCTGTGTTCGTGCACAGTGTTCCTGAGGCTTGAACTCAGGGCCTGAGTGCTGTCCCTTAGTTTTTTCATTTAAGACTGGCCCTCTACCACTTGAGCCACACCCTACTTCCAACTTTTTGCTGGTTAATTGGAGGTCAAAATTCATGGATTTTTGCTGCCTGGGCTGGCTTTGCCCCAGAGACACTAAGATCTCAGCCCCCTGAGTAGCTAGAATTACAATTGTAAGCCACTGGCACCCATAATAGTGATCAGTTTGGATCCACACAAGTATCTGATTTGTGAGCCTTATGCAGACAGTGATCATTCTGGGATCTTTAGAGAAGTGCTAGGTTCTACTGTCACCAGAATTAAAATGTTTCAATCAAGAATGAATTAGGAAATCTTGGCATTGCATTTGTCCAGAGCTACATGCTATTGGATTTAAACCCAGTTACACCCTTGCATTTGTCTTTAAGAAGCAGTGGTTTTGTCATAGACACTCGTTTAAATATGATAAATATGTTTTTCAGGAACTTTTTGAAAAGAAGTTTCATGTGCTGTTTCCTAAGGCTAGAATCATTCTCCCACACCCCCCCTCCACAGAAATATTATATTATCTTTATATAACAGGATTGAATGGAGACCCTCTAGATAGCCTGACATTTTGATGAAGAAATTCTGAAACCCCTGAAACACTGGCAATGTACAGAGATCAGTATAAACAGAAGACACTAGGGGCAGGCAAATGGGTCGCTCTGTTTTATAAAATCTCACTGCTTGGCAACTTGTGCCATTGGCCACATTTGAACTTTAATCTATTCTAACCATTGTTTTCTTTTGCCTTTTTTCTCAGGCCTGCATTGAGAGTACAGCAGTTGCCACAGAACTTCTGAGCCCATTAGGTAATAAGTGTCACTTCAGTAGCCTTTCCTCCCTTTCATTTCTGGCATTGTTGTTGCTTCATTTTCCAGAGGGTAAGGGGGAATTTGATCTGTGTGAGGTCAGCTGATCAGCTATGTCTATGAAATACCCTCAGTGTGTTAGATGCAGAACCATATGCCTAGAATTCTCTCTTTCTGCCAAACTCTACCTTCTAGGCTAACTTCAGTAGTCAATTTGCATATAACGAAAATGACTCTAATAAATATGTCACTTATTATAAGGGTAAATAAGTATTTTTATTTGTATATAGGCTTTCAGTGACCTGCCATTCCAACACTGTATTTTCTAATGTACTAGAAGAACTAAACCAGGCCATTACAGGGTAATCAACGTCAACCTTGACTTTTCTAAGAGGTAGCAAGTGACCCAAACTCTAGTGTGACAGTTTCTTGATCTGAAAAAAAGAAGTCTGCTTATCTTAAAAAATGTCTCTGGCTTTATTCTTTAGTGTTATACAATTTGTGACTTAATTCTTGATCAGTCTTGGTGTTGTCACATGATGTCTAAGATTGTACAAGATTTAGAAGAGTACACTGTTGCTTTTCTCTGTTTGCTGATGTGAGATAAGCAAATAACTGTAGGTACACTTTTCCCTGGGAAATATTCAACCATTTAAAGTAGCAGTAGTAGATGCATGACTTGCACATTGTGTACAAAACATCATAGAAGATTGAGGATTTACAATTAGAATAGTTACAAAAAATGGAGAAAACTGATGAATGATTTAGGGGACTACCAATTATTCTGATACTCTTTAGGGTGTTCTGTGAAATCTTAATCAACTAGCCATTTTGGCTTAGTCCATATTTATTTGTTCCATTCGTTTTGAACAATATAAAACTAGGATTATAGTCTCTTATGAGGAAAGTAGTCATCTCTCAAATATTTCTGGTGGCACTGACAATTGCTATAGCTACTTTAGAAAGTGTTTGACAATATCCATGAACAGAAAACAAGAACAGATCTAGCTCTTCTATTCCAGGAACAGAATCCAACGAATGAAGCACAGTTCTGGGTAGGGGAGGTGTTTGAGTATTTTAGACTGCCAGAAAACCATGCAGATGTCCAGGTACAGAGAACAAAGAAAGGTTTATTGCCAGGAAAGGGGCCGGCAAGATCCCCTCTCACAAGGGAGAATTGAGAAGAAGCACCGGCTATTGTCTGAGGTGACCTATGGAACTTGGGTGGTTTAGGAGGGGCTAGAAGGGGCTAGGAGACAGAGACCGTAGTGTGGACATGAGGGCCAAGGACTTCATCATGGCAGACTAGGATTTATGGCTTCTGGCAAGTAGTAGATAAGGGGTCCTGCAGCTGCCCAGACCTGAAGGACACACTAAGGGGCTCTTCTTGCCTTCTATGGTAGTAGCTGCCTCAGAGAAGTGCATCCCAAGGTAACAGGGGCGGTTGGAGGCTGATTATTTACTACCTTTACTAAATGGGCCTAGTGTTGCCTAGGAAGGGAACATGATAAGCTGTGGATAGGGGAAGGAATATACTAAGCTATGGGAAGGGAGCTCATTGGGCTAACAGGAGCAGTAGGATGGTTGGCTTTGCTGTGGCCTATAATGAAACCAACATTTGTTTAAGAAAAAACAGTGTAAGTTGTGAAGCAGTCTTACTGGGAGATGCATTATACCATTAGAAAAGTTGAGCCTGGTTTATTAGAGTGACTCAGAGGTTCTGCACTTAGATTCCAGATGAAAAGCAAACAGCCAAGGTGAAAATATAATCCTTATATTGGCATATGAAGGTGAAAGATTCATGCTTTTAACATCAGTTATACATCAGTTATTTGAGAGATAATACAGGTGGGTAAAAGGGGAAGTACAATAAAAGGAAGGAGAGTCGAAAATATCATTAGTTATTAACTTTTTACTAAATGCATTATTAAAGGGAAGCAGGAGGGCTGGGAAGGTGGCTCAGTGGTAGAGCGCTTGCCTTGCATGCCTGAGGCCCTGGATTCGATTCCTCAGCACAACATAAGCAAAAAGAAAAAAGCCGGAAGTAGCATTGTTACCCAAATGTTAGAGCACTAGTCTTGCGCTGAAGAGCTGAGGGACAGCATTCAGGCCCAGAGTTCAGGCCTACAATCGGACCCAAAAGAAAAAAAAAAAAGAGAGAGAAGCAGGAAGGGCCAGGTATCCGTGGCTCCTTCTTACAATCCTAGTTACTTAGGAGGCTGAGATCTAAGGATCTTGATTCAAAACCAGTAGAGAACCAGTTTTGAGTGGAAAAAGCTGAGTGAAAGTAGGAGACCTGAGTTCAAGCCCAAGCACCAAGAAGTTTGGTGTAGTGAAGAAAAGTGCTGCAAAAAAGGTCCTAAAACAAACAAGAGAATATCCAGGTAGAACCGTGGCAGCAGAGAATGTAGTGAAGCTGAGGAAGAGAACTATCACCATTTTTTTCAGAAAGAACTGGGGTCTTGATGTTGAACTTATCTACTCTGTTTCCTTTATGCGTATCTGTGTTTATGTTTGTAAAGCAGCCTGTATAAGTCAGGAAAAATCTGTCACAGTGGAATCCTTCTGTAGTTCAACCCCTATTATACTTTGCCTCTCTTCATTGTTTCCCTCTTTCCAAGTTCAGGTGGCTATTCCTAAACCAGGACAGTGGCCAGGAAGAGAATATCCTCTGCCTTCCTATACCAATGTGTGGACCCATTGATGCCCCAAATGTGTATCTTTACTCATTTCAGGAAATATGTGGTATAGATAGAACTAGAAGACACAATTCCAGTCCAAGAAGCTGCCAAGAAGCCCAGACTATAGAAAAAGGGGAAAATTTTAATTGTGTATGACAGGTCATAGAACCAAGAACTAGAAATATACATTACTTAAATGGAAGCAAAAGCATTTTGGGAAGCAAGTCAAGAAGAGCCCTCCTAAGAGATAGCATTAGCAGAGTGAGTCATAGCTCAGTGGTGCATTGAAAAAGGTAA